TGGGGCAACCAAATTGGACTTAACAAAAATTATAGAGTTACTCAGTAAAATCGGAAAACCGTATCGTAAATCGTTCATTTGCAAAATATCAGTTTATCATATTGAACTGAACTGTTCCTGTTGCAAACAACATCAATCCATTGTCACCATTCATGCGTTTCATACAAATTCCATTGTTTCCTAACTCTTCCTTTCTTGATCTTCCCTCACCTTCTGCTGCCAGACATTACGTTGACACTCACGTCATATACTACTTATAAGTAGCTGACACCACAGTAGTAGTAATCAAACTAAAGTTTATCGAAGCCCAAACAGTCATCGAATCACATCAATCAAGTTGGCATTGATTGTCAAACCAGTTAGTCTTCAATAATTCAGAGACATTTTTTTTTAAAACTGACTGAACTCTTTCAACTATGCTAAAATAGATTGATTTTTATTTCACAAACTTTTATTTTATTCAAATATGAGGGTTAGTATGTAGTAAGTAGATTAGTCGATACCCACATATTATTACTTATCAAATGATATTGTCTTAAATAATATCAATATGTTGACTCTCGAGTACAAATCATTATACAAATGAATGTTACCTGACATAGATAATGTCAATGTTGATATCTATTGATCAAACACAGAGATGTGTACTCAACTTCAGTATGAACAAGTTAGTTGTGGTTTGGATAGAATACAATGAGAAGACATAATTGATTTGAAAAATGTTGTGATGTATTTGCTCTGTACATATTGCAAACAATCTGGTCACATGTATGTATACACTTGTCAAGTCATTTTATATGAAAGTTAATAAAAGAAATCTCCGAATTCTAGTGGAGTTCAACCCTGTTCTAGTGTGAATCACCGCTCACCGAAGATAGTGTATGGGATTGTACAAGACAGTGAATTGATTGAAGTTAGACATTATTAATGTTAGATACCGGCTCAGCAGTCCACGGGTTAGGTGTCTGCGAGCAAGACCGAAGGTCACAGGTTCAAATCCTTCAAGGTACAGGAGTTGTGAATGGGCACTGCTGATGAATCCCAGATCAGGACGAAACGGCTGTCCAGTGTTTCCAGGTTTCTAACTGTAATGTTCGCCACTAGGTACGCTTGAAGCTATTACGAGTTCACCTTAGTCGATAAACGCGAACGAGACAATTAACAGCGTTTAGATAGGCTACCTTGAATCCCAAGCTGTAAACAGAAGTCTCGGTAAGCGTAGAAAGTATATTCTACAAACGCCCAACGATCACACTACAATCAAGCACACAACTCTCTTTTATTTATACATCATAGAAACGTCCTTTGGACAGCCACAAAAATAGCACACTAAAATACACAGCAGCTGGTGGGAAATGCAATCTCAAGGTCAACTGATCAGCCCATGCTCGCAAACGTGAAATCCAAAATAAGACATTTATCAATCGAGTTCTTGGGATCTAACATCCCCAACACTAATACTGGTCTAACATTGATTGGTTTTAACTTATGAATAGCTAAAGCTTCCACAAACCTCAGAATTCATCCCTGAACATTTCTATACTATTGTCTTAAAACCTATCTTGATAATAATCTTATGCCCTGATTCAATCATGTGTTTTACGATCGATGAACATAATTTTCAATTTTCCACATTTATCAGGTCACCTAAAGTTAACTGATTTCGAAGCGACTTAGGTATATGATGTTACATAACCCTTGATTTCAAAGTCTGATTACTCTTCCCTATGCGTGTGTGTGTGTCCACACAAACATGTAAATTGATACATGCGAAAGGATGTGATGTAATCATTCGAGTAATGTCTAGGCTTATGTAGAATCATGGACTTAATCTTTTCAATCAAAATCAGTTTAACAGCGTAGTAGGTTTTCTCTATGACTGCTTTTAGTCGCTGTTTCGCCTTTAAGTGGCAAAGTGTTATAAACATTTGTCTTCAAATGTATCCGTGGTGTAAATTCCTTCGGCCCTACCTATTAAAAAGAGGCGATTTCAAGTTAATGAAGATTATTGAAAAACTAAAGTCAGACACATAAGTTCCTCATTGTGAGCATTGAATCAATGATAATCTATCTCTGCGTTAAATCAAAGCTAAGATCAAAGCGATAAGTGAGACTTATAATTTGGTTACAAGTGTTTAGAGATTTGCCTTGTGAAAGATTCGGTATATACCTTTGAACGAACTTATGATTCATTGACTAAATAGTTATGTAATATTTTGTGCGATCACATTGACAGTTGGAATCAAGCTAAAATTACTTATAATCTATTCTTTCCATTATTGTGAAACAACAGTTTTGGTTAGTGGAGGCGCTGACGAGATAAAGAGTCTTCTGATCACTCTAAGCAACAATACAAGCATGTTCGGGATGCGATTTGTCCTCCTCGAAATGCAAAATGTTACTTCAGGAGTGGTTTGCATCGACAGCTGAACTGGTGATATGGAGTGAAGTAGTTGAGCATATGGACCGCTTCAATTATCTTGGGAGTATCATCAGTGTGGGTGACCTCGTGATTGACGAAATCTCAGCATGGACACAGGAGACTCAATTGGCTTTCGCCAACCTGCATTACTGAGGGCGTAGGTGAGATATCCGTTTGCTAATCAAAGGACGAGTCTACTGCGCTTCAGTTAACTCCGTCCTACTTCATGGCTGCAAGACATGCCAGTAGGATTTGAGGATATTTGTAGGTTACTCGTTTTCTATTACAGATGTCTCCAAAGCATTGCTCATGTATCCTGGGACACACTTGAGTAAGCAATGCTGTTGTTAGGAAACGGGTGCTAGGTAAGAATGGTAGATCAATAGATGAAGTATTCAAAATTCATCAGTTGAAGTGGTTGGGACATGTGTTACGCATGCCTAGCCACTAACTGCCTTAGTGAGCTATGTTGTCTGGTGTAGAGGTAGACTGAAAAAGGCTAGGGACGGCCAAACCAAAACATATCACAAATCCATGAAGTCAATGATAACTGGACTGAGTGATGTTGGTTGGGTTTCTTACCGACGGTCAGAAACCTTGAATGAAATGGCTGAAAACCGCTTGTAAGGACTTAGGTGCATCCAACCCTTGTCTTCTCTTAAATTCCAATCTTCTGAATTCCTCATCACTTTTATCTTCCTCTTCTGAAATTTATTTCACTGGATTATACTTCTTGAATAATATCGTCGAACTCTAATCTTTCAGATTACTGCTCATACTTTCGCCAGCTCTACTACTATGGGATTTAAACTAACGATTTCTATCTCTTTGTGCTTGTGTGGTATGGTAACTTGAACTGATGTACGTACGTACCAAGTTTTATAGTGTAACTGACTGACTGACTGACTGACTGAAGCAACATAAAGAATAGCAATACCAACTTCACAATCTACTTAACAAAGAAATTTTAACAAAATAAATTCTAGTTTCATGATTCAATCAATTAAGCACAGAAGGACATTAAGCAGTTAATTAGACGGTGAATTTCAAGTCAATAGTAACCAGAGTATCATTAAATTAAGTTGAACACACTATGAAGTAGGATTAGCACACAGCAGAATGATCCGATCAGTACACTTGATCATACCATGCTGTGTGTAAACACACATACAATCGGTTTTTTCAAAATTTCTAGAAAAATTTATCTGATGAATTATAAATGGCTTCAAGAACTTGTAGTGAGCGTACTGATATGTCGAGCCCACATGGCTCATCCTACTTTTTGGACAAACTAATCGACTCCTCTGACCGACTTACTATTCGCACGTCAAATTGACCTTATTCGTTTAGAACTTGGTTGTTTTTATTTGAATACGTGTGTGTGTATGTGTGTTGTAACGCTTGCTTGAATAATTTCTAGCTAATCTCTATTGCTTAGTATTCTCTGACCACACAATACACTGGACAAGTTACAAAGAATCAAGAAAAACACGGTGGAACAGGAAAAGATTATATTCCAAATAGCAAGGTTAGATGGAAATAAGAAGACGAAGGCGAAGGCAAAATAGATACAACGTTAGTTTCTTTATAGTATTTATATGAGAAGCTTCTGGAAAGTAATTCACGTGACTGGATTAGATTTAGCCAATCAGCGAGAATTTCCTACCCTGTTCTCCAAAAATCGATCAGGCGCTGATTGGATAGGAAATTAGCCAATCAGCGCGTAGCAACGTAGTCATGTTTTAATTCCATCTATGTCCCACCAACAATGTGCATTGCTTACTTCGTTAGTCACATGTTTAGCCTATTTTTGTCTGACTGTATATGCTCAGTCCATGCCTTATCATCGCATTGAGTTGGGATTACTTGCGCCTTCTCCATTTCACATCGCTTCGCTTGTAAGCTTTTTATTCTTATGTCTGTCTACCTGAACGATTGCATGAAACAAACTCATCTTATTTTACCGCTGTCGCACAAACAGGGTCTCGCTAATCATGACTGATATGCGAAAATTAAAGGGAAGATTTATTTGATCGCATATATAATTGTTCCTGCAAACTAGTATCAGATCCTGAGCCACTAAAAGCTAGTGTATTTGACTTTGAATTACACCCTCCAAATATGAGAGGCTATTGTTGAAACTTAATTGCATGGAAAGCGGGAGGAGGTTTAAAGCTGTTTCTATATCGAAGTGTGGTGCGCGCTACTTATAAGTAGTATATGAAGCGAGTGTAAACGTAATGTCTGGCAGCAGAAGATGGGGGAAGATCAAGAAGAAAGGAAGAGTGGGAACACAATGGAATTCGTATGAAACGCATGAATAGTGAAATGTCAGACAATGGATTGATGATGGATTGAAGATTTGCAAATTAACGATTTACGATATGGTTTTCCTATTTTACCAATTAACTCTGTAATTTGAGATAAATACAATTCGGTTGCCCTCACCTGAGTTCTCCTTCACTTCACTAATATGAGTTCCTGAGCCACTAAAAACTAGTGGTAGTTGACTTCAGGTCACACCCTATATATATATTATATATATATATATATATATATATATATATATATATATATATATATTAATTTTTATATCCAAATAGAGAAAATGGTGTACAAACACATGTATTTAGCAAAAATAATACGCGTTTTTTTTGAAAAAAAAAAGACCTAATTAGAAAATATATCACAGTGTTTGATGTAAAATAAACCAATGTATGTTAAAACTATATAAAACTTTGCCTAGAACCTTTCTGAAGGTTACTGTCGGTCCCAAGCTCGCCGGATAAAGGAAGAAATGGGTTAGCGACCCCATAGGTAAAAACAAAAACGCCAGTGGGCAGTCTATACTCCATTGGGGGGTAGCAAGGCGTAAGTAAGTGAGTAAGTAAGTAAGTAAGTAAGTGGTAATATAGCCTAGATAAACACACACACACACTCAAACACATATGCATGCATGCAGATACAGTGCACTTCTCTTTTGATCAAAACAAATGGACATTTTCTGTCCTCTTCCACACAAATTAATAATAATAACAATTTATTTATCCCAAGAAAATCCTGGTTTATCATAAGGTAATGCAGGACAACATGTTGCAGGCCACTGACCATGTTCATAACGATATTTTAATTCTGTATTACTGATAAATTTGATTAATGTCAACAGGACAATAATTAGTGTGCCAAAAATCAATAAACCAGTGGAAAATGAATTGAAACCACATTGTATTTTAATATTGCTCTAGAAAAACAAATAAAATAAAAAAGGGAGAAATTAAGAATTTCCAGCAATTTGCTAAACACAATCATAATCAGTCAGTCAGATGCAACGTAGAACTTCGTATGTACGTAAGTACATCAGTTCATGTTGCCATACCATATCAGCACAGAGATGTAATTGTCAGTTCAAATCCAATAGTAGAAGAGGTAGTAAAGGTATTAGCGCCATTGCAAACGATTTTGAGCCATGTCATTCAGGGTCTCTAACCATTGATTACAATCATCTCGCGGACCCCAACCAGGCAGCTGACATCTACAAACATGGCTCACTTCACTTGTCAGTGACTTCATGGATTTCTGCCATGTTTCGGTTTGGTCGTCCATAACTTTCTTCCAACCTATTCCTACACTACAAAACAAAGCTCGTCGCGGCAGTCGGTGGTTCGGCATACGCAACACATGTCCCAACCACCTCAACTGATGAAGTTTCACCACTTCATCTATTGACCTGCCATTCTCACCTAGCACCCGATTCCTAATAACAGCGTTGCTCACTCGGGTGTCCCATGATATACGAGCAAAGCTTCGAAGACACCTATGATCGAAAACCAGTAACCTACGAATATCTTCTACTCTCACTGGCCATGTTTCACAGACATAAAGTAAGACGGAGCGAACCACTGCACAGTACACTCGTCCTTTAGTCAGCAAGCGGATATCTCGCCTACGCCAAAAGTGACGCAGGTTGGCAAAAGCCGATCGAGCCTTCTGTATCCGAGCTGAGATTTCGTCAGTCACGAGGCCATCGGCACTGATGAGACTCCCAAGATAAGTGAAGCGGTCTACACGTTCGACTACTTCACTCCCTATCACTAGTTTAGGTGCCGATGCAACCCAATATTGAAGCAAAATTTTGCATTTCGAGGGGGAAAACCGCATCCCGAACATGCTTTCATTGTTGCTTGGGGTGGTCAGAAGACTCTGCATTTTGTCAGCGTCTTCACCAAGTAGGACTATGTCATCGGCATATTCTAAGTGAATAAGCGAGCCACCTGTTAAAAGGTCTACTCCTGAAAACAGAATCATAATCAGAATGATGAATAATTTTCTGCATATATATACTTGCATAAGTAATTATTCTCCAGACAAGTATTCAGTCAAACGTCAGTCAGTCAATCATTTAGTTACAACGTAGAACTTCGTACGTAAGTACATCAGTTCATGTTGCCATACCATATCAGCACAGAGATGTAATTGTCAATTCAAATCAAATAGTAGAAGAGGTAGTAAAGGTATTAGAAGTAATCGGAGAGGTTAGGATTGGAATATATTACTTAAGAAGTATGATTCAGTGAGAAAATTTTAGAAAGTTTAGAACTTCGTACGTACGTTGGTACGTACATCACTTCAAGTTGCCATACCACATTACCACACACAGAGATGCAATTGTCAATTCAAATCCCAAAGTAGTAGAGGTATTAGAAGTATTTAGCAGTAATGAAGAAGATTATGGGTTGAAAATATTATCCAAGAAGAATAATCCAGTGAAATTGTTACGTATGCACGTAAACATGTCGTCTTGATGTTTTTCGGATTATTACGACTTGCTTTACCTTAGTCGGAAAACAAGAGCGAAGATCAGGGATCCGGCGACACGAATTGCTACCCTAATCCTAGTGTCCCAATCCTAATTGAATAAAAGAAGAAGACTTGAATGTGAAGTAGAACATATATTCTACAAACATCCAGAAAGTACGAGGTCCGAGTCCAGAAAAGGATGAGGATCCCGGACTAGGGATCCAGGTCCGGGTCATAAAACGCTACAGATAATGCGTATTTATACATTTAGATCGAATAGGAAACAACATTGAAGTGTGTGTGACATTGATAGTTAGGACGACCATAATACTGACTAATAAGAACCGATCAATACAATAAGACTTCCAAAAATAGTTCTCTTAGGATATTTGATGAATATCCTAACAGAAATAAATTTTTACACATTTGAAATCATCAATCAATCATTGTTAGACACCACCATTGGAAACCTGGAAGCACTGGACGGCGGCTTCATCCTGGTATGGGACTCATCAGTGGCAGTTTGCATCCACGACTCCTGCACCCCGCAGGATTTGAACCCGGGACCTTCAGCATTGTATGCGAACGCTTTACCACCGGACCACTGGGCCGGCATCCAGCGGTGCTAATGTCTAACTCTGATTGATCTAGGGACTTTGTGCGACCTCACCCATTTGTCTTCGGTAGTTACTGCCTACACCCGACAGGGTTGAACTCCATTGGTCACGTCTTCTCAACTAGAACTCCGAGAATTTCCTCACGAAGCTAGTCACTAGTGAGTCCCATACCAGGAAAAAACGGCCGTCCAGCGCTTCCAGGTTTCTAATGGTGGTCTAACAATGATTGATTGATGATTTCAAATGTGTAAAAACGCAAATACCTCCAAAACTCTGCCGCAAAAGAAATAAATTTGAAAAGAGAAAGATGAAGGTGATAAGGAATTCAAAAGATTACAATTTCAGAGAACACAAAGAATGGATGCATCTAAGCCATTGCAAACGATTTTGAGCCATTTCATTCAAGGTCTCTCTCTATTCATCGATTACTATCATCTCGCAGACCCTAACCAACGTAGTCTACACTTAGTCAGTGTGCATCCTAGATTATAATGAGAGCGGTATATTATTGAAAAAACTAAAAGATGGAAGAATGTTGAGGGTAGTTAACATGAAAAATGGTCTCAGATCGTCAAGGTCATTATTATGCATTGTTAGAATGACGCATGGTTGGTAGATGTAGACTATCTAATTAGAGAGTCAGTATAAGCTTGAAAATATCAGGTAATGAAAAGGTGAAAGCCGAAATCTTACTAGTCAAAAATGTGAATATTGATCTAAATGTCTAAAAACAAATGACGAAATTTCGAATTTGCCTTGAATTAAAATGGTTTACATATGTGGAACGGGAAATAGCTGAAGTTATTTTCAGTCGTTTCAATGAAATTGTTGAGTTGACCTGTAATCAATTTATTCGGTACATCAATTTCAAAATTAAATACCAAGTGAAGAGTTTTCTTTGTCAAATGTAGTAGTCAATATGTTGTTCATGAAATTTAACTACCTCTGTGAGGTTAACTACAATGGCTCTAGACTCTAACTGTAAACACTTCGAGGCTATTGCCGGTCCCAAACCCGCATTGGAAGAAAGCTAGGGGCCGCCGAACCAAAACATGGCACAAATCCATAAAGTCACTGACAAGTGGATTAAGTCATGTTGATAGGTGTAGACTACCTGGTCGGGGTCCGCGAGATGATAGTAATCGATAGTTAGAGACTCGGAATGGCATGGCTCAAAACCGTCTACCATGGCTCAGGTGCATTCATTCTACGTGTTCTCTCAAATACTAACCTTCGGAGTCCCTCGTCACCTTTATTTTTCTACTTTTAAGTTTTTTTCACTAGATTCCACTCCTTGAATAATATCCTCGAACCCTACAATATCCGATTACGGCTAATACTTCTACTACCTTTACTATTATGAGATTTGAAGTGACAATTGCATCTCTGTGCTGATGTGATATGATATGGCAACTTGAACTGATGTACGTATGTACGTACGAAGTTCTATGTTGTTGTTGACTGAATGACAACGGCTGTAATTCAAACGACTTAATCTTTAGGTGCTTATAAAGATATAGGAATGGTTAGAAAAAGGTGTCAATCAAGTCTATACATAATGTCTTTCCCTTCCATCAAACCAATAAAGGACATAATCATGACGTTGAATATAGTTTCTGAGTTAAATATAAATTCCCGAGTAATTTGCCAAAAGAAAGTGTAAAATTATGCCTACTCTATCATAGAGAAATCGATACCAACTCAAAGAAGCCTAACTAATTACTTACTTACTTACTTACTTACTTACTTACTTACTTACTTACTTACTTACACCTGTTACCTCCAACCAGCATTCTCCAACCAATTCTGTCCTCCACCTACCTTTCTAGTTCTGTTGAGTTTTTGTTCATTCTTCACATGTCTGTCCTTCAATCCTTGACGTACTGTGTGTTCTTTGGTCATTCTCTTTTCGTTTAGCCTTAGGGATTCCGAGTTAGGGCTTGTCTTGTGATGTAGTTGGGTTTTTTCCATAATATATGTCCTATTCAACTCTAGTGATATTGCCTAATTACTTTCTCCGCTGAAATCTGGTTTGTTCTCTTCCATAGTAGGTTGTTATTGATGGTGTCTGGCCAACGGATCTGAAGTATTTTGCGTAGACAACTGTTAATGAATACTTGTATCCTCTGGATGATGGCTTTCATAATTCTCCAAGTTTCCACCCCATTGAGTAGAACTATCTTGATATTTGTACGAGGAATTCTAACTTTACTGTTGGTTGATAGATGTTTCGAGTTTCAGACGTTGTTCAATATATTCTTTTCACCTTAACCCATAACAAGGTCATCCAAAACTATGTTAGCACAATTAAGAAAGTTTTACTCTTAGAAAATCATAAATTATCATTCAAGAATACACTTATTTATATATGAGTAGTTTGTTGGGGAAAAAAACTCACTTTACATATATGCTTTCTTTTACAAATCTCTGAATCAATTGGAGTACATACACCGGGATGAGTAATATTCATTGTTCTTTTAGGCAAATCACCAATTTTCCATTGACATTCAGGATCACCTAATTCTTGACCATTAGTAAATCCGTCACCATCACTATCCAATGGGCAGAGTAGATCCCATGACTTAAAAATCAATGAGGAAAGTTATAAAGAGAAAAGAGAATTTCAACAAGTAAGTAAATTGGTCAAGTATGATTTACTTCCATTGGTGCTAACCAAAAAGAATGAGTCTATTGCGGAACAGTTCACTCTGTCCAAACTTTATGTCTATGAAACATGGCCAGTAAGAGTGTAGTGAAGGAGAACACAGGTGAGCACTCTTCCCTTCTTGATCTTCCCCATCTTCTGCTGCCAGACATTACGTTTTCACTCGCGTCATATACTACTTATAAGTAGCGCGCACCACAAGAGTAGTGGATTTTTTGTAGGTTACTGGTTTTCGATCATGGGTGTATTTGAAGCATTGCTCGTGTATCATGGGACGAACGAGTAAGTAACGCTGTTGTTAGTGTTACGCCTGCACGTAAACACGTCAACTTGATATACTTGAACTATTACGAGTTTACTTTAGTCGGAAAACGAGAGCGAGGATCCGGCGACACGACATGCTACTCAAATTCGATTATCCCAACCCCCATAGTTAGTAAAAAATAAGAAGACTTGATATGAAGTAGAACCTATATTCTTCAAGCATCCAGAAATTACGATGTCCGAATTCAGAAGAGAATCAGGATCCCGGACTAGGGATCGGGGACCAAGTCCTGGTCGTAATCATAAAACGTTACAGATAATGCGTATTTATACATTTTGGTCGAATAGGAAACGGCATCGAATTCTATGGCATTGACAGTTAACACGACCAATAGGAAGTAATATTTGAAGTGACATTGACAGTCCGAATGACCAATAAGAGACAATATTGAAGTAATTGACCTTAACAGTTAAAACGACCATAATTTTCACCAATAGAAATCGACCAATAGGATTTGACCAATAATTCTCTTAGGATATTGGATGAATACCCTAACAGATAGGAAACGCGTACTAGGTAAGGGTAACAGATCGATTGATTGAGTAATGAATATTTGTCAGTTGAGGTGGTTGGGACATTTTTCACGTATACCACCATCACCACTGATTGCCTTGACGAGTGATGTTCTCCGATGTGGGAATAGGTTGGAAGAAAACTCGGGGCGACCAAACCAAAACATGGCACAAATCCATGAAGTCACTGACGAGTGGATAAATATATATATACTTTCATAAGTAATGATATTACAATGGAGTTTTCAATCATAAGTTAGTCAGTCAGTCATTTAGTTACAACGTAGAACTTCATACGTACGTAGGTACACCATTTCAAGTTGCCACACCAGATTACCACACAAAGAGATTCAATCTTTAAATTAATTCCCGTAGTGGTAGAGGTAGTAGAAGTATTAGCGGTAATGAAGAAGATTAGGGTTATTCAAGAAGTATAATTCAGTGAAATCAATTTAGAAAGAAACATAAAGAGTGGATGCACCTGCACCATTACAAACGATTTTCAGCCATGTCATTCAAGGTCTCTAATCATCGATTTCTATCATCTCGCACACCTCAACCAGGTAGTCTACACTTAGTCAGTGCATCCTAGATTATAATGAGAGCGGTATATTATTGAAAAAACTAAAAGATGTAAGAATGTTGAAGGTAGTTAACATGAAAAATAGTATCAGCTGATCAAGGTCATTATTCATTGTTGGAATGATGCGTGTTGGTAGATATAAATGAAGAGTCTGTATAAGTTTGAAAATATGAGGTAATCAAAATGTGAAAGCAGAAATCTTACTAGTCAAAAATGTGAATATTGATTTAAATGTCTAAAAACAAATAACGAAATTTTGAATTCACCCTGAATTTAAATGGTCTACATATGTGAAACGTGAAATACCCCAAGTGATTTTCAGTTGTTTCACTGAAATTGTTGAGAAGGCGTGTTAGAATTTTATTCGCTATATCAATTCTAAAAGTAAACACTAAGTGAAGAGTTCTCTTTTGAAATGTAGCAGTCAATATCTTGTTCATGAAATTTAACTACCTCTGTGAGGTTAACCTACAACGGCTCTAAACTCCACCAGTATATCCAGCGAGGCTACTGCCTGTCCAAAGCTCGGATTGGAAGAAAGTTGGGGGCGACCAAATCAAAAAATGGCACAAATCCATGCAGTCGCTGACTGAGCCATGTTAGTACGAGTAGACTATCTGGTCGGAGTCTGTGAAATGATAGTAATCGATGCTGGGAGACGCTGAATGTCATGGCTCAAAATCGTTTGTAATGCCGCAGGTGCGACCACTGTTTGTGTTCTCCAGAAGATTATTCCTCTGAATTCTTTATCACATCTGTCCTTCTCTTTTTATATTTATTTGACCGGCTTATACTTCTTGGATTATATTTTCGAACCGTAATCTTCTCCATTACCGCTAATACTTTTACTACCTATACTACTTTGAGATTTGAAGTGACAATTGCATCTCTGTGTATGGTAATGTGGTATAACAACTTGAACTGGTGTACGTATGTACGTACGAAGTTCTTCGTTGTAACTGACTGACTGACTGACACTAAGAACCACCAGATAAGGTACTAGTCAGTCATCAACAATAAACAATCAATGAATATTAACCTAGTCAGTTTTCCAAGAAGTTTATGCTCATAGACCAAAAATCTCTTAGATAACTAAGTACATTTTAGATGACACAAATTTCAGTTTGATTGGAACAACTGTCCTTAAGATCGGAGATACACCGCACTGATAAGCAACAACTAATTTTAAAAACTTGGTTTTCGAGTTTTCTACTATCAAAATCACATCGTGCTTGTAATGAATTTCAGTTTAGTTTATTGACCAAACAGCAGTCAACAACACTGGAAATCGTAGACTAAAAATCCATTTGGACCCAATCGTTGTCAGAATAATCGTAAGAACATTATTAATAAGTAAACAAAGTGCTATTCACCGATATAAACTAAACAGACAGACAGACAGACAGATACAACGCAGAACTTTGTACATAAGTACATCAGTTCAGCTTGCCATACCACGTCAGCACAGAGACGCAAATGTCAGTTCAAATCCAAGAGTGATAGTGATAGTAGAATTATTAGCAGAAATGGAGAAGATTAGAGAGCGAAGATATGATTCAAAAAATATAATTCAGTGAGATAAATTTACAAGGAGAAAGATAGAGATGATAAGGAATTCAGATGGTTAGAATTAGAGAGAATACAAAGAGTGGATGCACCCGCACCATTGCAAACGATTCTGAGCCATGTCGTTCAAGGTCTCTCGTGGACCCCAACCAAGTAGCCTACATCTACCAAACATGACTCAGTCCACTTGTCAGTAACTTCATAGATTTCTGACATGTTTTGGTTTGGCCGCCCCTAGCCCTCCTACACTACAAAACATAGCTCGTCGCGGCAGTCGGTGGTTGGTCATACGTAACACATATCCCAAACACCTCAACTGATGAAACTTCATTACTTCATCTATTGATTTGCCATCCCTACCTAGAACTCGTTTCTTAACGACACCATCGCTTCTACGGTTGTCCCAGGATATACGAGCAACGCTTCGGACACACCAATGATCGAACACTAGCAACCTACTAAAGTCCTTTACAATATAAACTAAACAATGTTCATTTAAATAAAAACGAACCATAAAAAAACACACAATCAATAATTTTACCCGTTTACTTTCAAAATCTGAACCAAATGAATTCAATGGTCCACCACCATTATAATCTAAATGACCAATAGATTGAACAAATTTTTCTGGTTCACATGGATTTGGTACAATTTCACTATTAGGTATTTTTAATTTATGTTCAGGTAACCCATGAATATGATCAAAAATCAATAACCATATAAGAATAATAATAATGAACATGACAGATTTGATTAACAATATGAAATAAGGAAAGTTTAATGAAGAAGGGAGAAGATTTTTTCTCTATTTCTCCATTCACTATTCTATTGAATTAAAATAATTTTATCTATGGAAAAGAAAAATTTAAGGCAAAAAAATATATATATTATTCACTTTTTATTATTCAATGAAAGTTAACAATTTACGAGATGAGTGTTTTTACATATTTGAAATTATCAATCAATGATTGTTAGACTACTATTAGATTGCCTGGAAGCACTGAAAGACGGCCGTGTCATCCTGATATGGGACTCATCAGTGGCAGTGTGCATCCACGACTCCTGCACCTCACAGGATTTGAACCCGAGACGTTCGGTATTGTGCACGAATATCTAGCCATTGGACCACGGTGTTATTGTCTAACTCTGAATGATCTAGGGATTTTGCACGACATCACCCATTTGTCTTTGGGTAGTTATTGCCTACACCCGACAGGGTTGAACTCCACTGGTCACGTCTTCTCACTAGAACTCCGAGAATTTCAAATGTGTAAAAACACTAATCTCCATAACTTTAATTGAAAAGACCATAGAGTTGTTTCATTATAATAAACAAGAGAAAAATTATTGAAACTTAAAAAAAAGAGGAAAGTTGGAGGACGTTAACACCTTTACATATATGGGCAGCATCATGATCAACAATTTTAGGGTGGATCCGATGCAGATGTGAGGGTGCCAATCGGCAAAGCAAAGGCTGCATTTCTAGAATTGAAAAATATCTGGATCAATCATCACCAAAGCCAGACTTCTGCATACAAATATCAAGACAGTTCTACTGTATGGAGCGGAAACTTGAACAACTACCAAAGCCATCATCCACAAGATACAAATATTCATTAACAGTTGTCTACGCAGAATACCTCGGATTCGCTGGCCAGACACCGTCAGCAACAACCTACTGTGGAAGATAACAAACCAAATTCCAGTGGAGGAGGAAATCAGGAAGAAGCGGTGGAAGTGGATAGGACACACATTTAGGAAAGCACCCAACTGCGTCACAAGACAAGCCGTTACATGGAACTCTCAAGGTAAAAGGAAAAGAGGAAGCCCAGAAAACACAATACGACGAGATATGAGAAGAATGAATGAAAACTGCAAAGAACTGGAAAGAGAAGCCCAGGACATATAGTTGGTTGGAGAAAACTGGTCGATAGCCTATGCTCCATTGGGGGTAGCCGACGTAAGTAAGTAAAAAGGAAAATATTTACAAAAGAGACAAATGTAATGTACGAGAATTTGTACAATGGACGTAGTTTTTGTGCTATTCGGCTTGTTATAATTACCTTAACCTAGGAATAATATTAAAAAAATTGCAGTTTTTGAGGACACATAAGTCATTAGTCTATAATAATATTTTTCCTACGATAATAATGACATGATGGTTAGATACGCTGAATGATACGGCTCGGAAACGTTTACTATGGTGCAGGTGCATTCATTCTTTGTGTTCCCTATAATCCTAACCATATGAAATTCCTATGGCCGGTTTTTTCTCTCTTGTTTTAATTGATTCCTCTGGGTTATACATCTCGAATGATATATTTGATCATTAATCTCGTTGATTACTGCTAATACTTCTACTATCTCCACTACTGTGGGATTTGAATGGACAATTCCATCTCTGTGTGATATGGCAACTTGAATTGATTTACCTGACGTACGTGCAAAGGTCTAAGTTGCAATTGACATAGTGTAGTACAAAGACCACCAATAGACTGGTATGCACTTTGTCTGAGCATTAACGAGAATCTTAGAAGTATTTGAATAAGTGAAAATAGGTTATTCTCAATTCTTCAAACTGGAAAATAACAAGGAACCAACTTGTTGTAGACCAGTTGTATTAGTTCCAAGGTTATGGAAAGTTTGACAAATAACTGAATGAGGTTGTATATGATTGGAAATAACATTTCCCATGAAGGATTTAGGAAAGGTAGGTCTCGTGTTTTTAGTCTTTTTTAACACAGGACAGCTGGTATATCTGTATTGGTAAATGATATATTCCTACAGGTGCCTAAGCATTGCACCCTGAACAATACCCATTTCTAATAACGAAGGTTATGAAGATTACAAAATTTGCATTTCAACCAACCAGCCAACTATCAGATAACAAGATATCAGGTTTAAATAACTCTACTGGTTTAGATGAAACAAAATATTCTGTGCTTACACAAACCAATCTCCAAATAACACTCAAATTCACTAAGACAAATGATGCTAAGTGGTTTAATTACCTAAATTTAATGGTACCAAATATCTGGCGTCATTCCTTGACACCAAGAAGTGAGTGCAGAGAGATCAACTGACTTATATTAGATATACAGACGAAACAACCAGGTTTAAGGTGGTAACTCCTTTTTTGCTGGAAATCATAAATGTCTCGAAGAACAGCGTGCACCGTGTCAAGTACTAAATGAAGCGTATCAATATTTAATTTTAAAAGTGCTTAAAATTGATTAACGTGCGAATACTAAGAAATAGGAAGACAGTTGTGTGGTTCTAAAAGTGATAGTGGAAGCGATTCGTTCTTTGAAGAATGATAATACAATAACGGGGTAAATAATAAACAAATATGAGCTCTCCGAAAGGTATTCCGGATCAGTAGTCGTTAAGTATTGCTCTAATTTGTTAGCTCACTATCGCCATGTAACTGGTTAACAGGTCATCAGAAATATAAAGAATATCGAGGAGAACATGTGATTTTATTGCTGAGGTAATATTACTGTAGATATATGAGTTTATTTTGGTCAAAATCCTGCACTCAGTGAGTTAAAAACACAAAAGGGGCTATATCGCACTAATACCCCAAGGCAGGGGAAAATACAGCTTCTTGGTGTGTGTTTCCTTATATTTCCTTCATATTTGCAGATAGAATGTTCCCTTTCCTTACCCCGAGTTTACTTTTATCTCCTCTCTATTGTTCGCTTTGGCACAATTAGGTATCGCTTTAATTAAATATCTGGCATAACCTACAATACATATGTTTTCAAAACAGCAGTTTTTAAAACTGACAGAACTACTATCTACTAATAAAATGGGGGTATTGAAACTAGGTGAGATGAATAACTAGTTCAAACTCACTAGAACTACCAGACATCACTTTAGAACGAAGGTATTTCAATTTACCTACATCAACAATGGGATGACCTTGAGAAGATGCCTAGTTAACAAGGTCTCAAAAGGTCATTAATCCATGCAAGGAATAAGAATTGATATTTATAATTAGAAGTTAGGCTGAGGAGTTAAAGTACAATATTTTTATAGCTTTGGGAGGATTATTAATAGTTAGCATAACGCCTCAAGCATTTCATACGAAATTTAAAGTGCATTAACTTTAGGGTAGCGATGTCTTTACGTCGTCCATCTCAATATCCAATGCCTTTCTCACAAGCCAGTATACATTAGTCGATTTCTGTGCTTCCGATTCTTGTTCTTTTGGCACAGTTCCATATATCTAGTACGGTCCAATGGATGGGTGTGTAGCCTATCGGGTGCCCTAATTCTAGTCGGTTGACAGATGCTTGTGAGCTTTTATGTCCCGTGATTTCATTGAGTACTTTTGCTTTACGAAAGTAAGGTTTCTGGAGTCTTTTTCGTTAGTTTTATTCTCCGACTCAATCACATATTTCGTTGCTCGTTTCAGCACTAGATATAAGAGATTTTTGGCTCTTCTAAGAAGAATGTGTGCGACGACGTTATGAACCTCTAGGTGTGGGCGCGCACATGTCTTAAACGGGGTAAAGGATAATTATGGGGTGACAGCACCAAGTTTTTCTCGCATAAAGCAAACAGTCGCTCTAACCTGAGCTTCGTCCTCCTTACACGCTAACTGATAATTAGGCTTTCATTAATTTTTGACAGAGATCGGGCTCTGAGGAGACATTGGGAAGCGGACTCCGTTGAGGGTGTAAATCGTTTGTGTCATGTGGGGCAGAATGTACGCACCATGACATTTTGTCTGGTCTGCTTTCAAACAGTTTTTTACTGCTCATTCCTCTATAGATGTAAAGTCATTTTGGAGCTCAGTCTAGTCGTCTTCGCTTCTTATGGACCTCCATATCTGAGTATTGTCTGCGTAGATCAGTGCGGGCAAGCTTTGTCTTGCTGGTCGTCATTTAATATCAGGTGAACCTAAGATGGTCTCCTGTGAAACTCCCGATTTTGAGACTCGTCAACTCTAGTATACTCTATTTACCTTGGTACAAAACTTTCTATTCTTAAAGAAGTTTCTGAACCAAGATAGGAGTGGGTAGGTGAAGCCCGTTTCCGCAACCTTCGCGATTAGACGTGCAAAGGGTACTGTTTTCAAGGTTTCGCAAAGCCTAAAAATATTATATGCACCGGTATTTTTCGGTCGCAGCAGGATGTCAAACTGTCCTGTGCTATGGGAAGACTGGATGCACATGACTTGCCCGTGTCGAGCTTCGCAGAGAATTTTGTTCTTATCCATGTACGCCCTCATTTATTCGCTCACTAGCGCTAGTTCCGTTTTCCAGATTCTCTGGATACGAAGCACGCGTGACTAATAATTCTGTCTGTTACTATCCGTAATAAATTCTAGTGCATTATATGAGTCTGCAGGTGTCACTCAATCTTTGAACTTCGTACCGTTTACCCAGCCTCTTATCTCCAGTTATTTTCTATCGAGTAAAAAAGTCGTTATCCAGGTGCAATTTTCTTTTTCAAGAAGTAAGTAAACAACCCTTCATTCTTCATTGCTGTACTCCTTAATTTGTGGGCTATACTACTACAATTTACTTACATTTTAACGTTCAGTATGAACTTTATCTGGACTCACCACCGCATTGCCTACTTCACAATGAAGGGTCAAGCATTGCTATGGATATACATTAGCCTCGTTGCTGTTTTTCTCTATCTTTCGCCCCTTTTCAGAACCCTATTTTCATTGGGACACCCATGGTGCCTCGATGCAAAATGCACTTGTAAGCGCACGTCTTGATCATAGCTCGTATCAAGCGCTTTACGATTGACACTTCCCAGCAAAATCACTCCTAAATCACGCAAACCACCAAAGATCTCTACTGTGTGATTACCCTATTTGTACTCACTTATTGAAAATGTGGCTGTCACAAATTGTTCATGTCAGTGACATGGTGTAAGTATGCTATCAGAAACTGACTCTTATACTTAATTTAACTGCGATAACTTTGGTAGTAAATGTGTTGGCATTTTCAGCAATTTGATCTGGCCTGTAAACTGGTATGCCTCTAGTAACATAGTTATTTGAGAATAATAATAATGTCTTTGTTATAAGAAAACGTTTTACATTATCAAGGAATCAAGTCAACTAATAGTCTGAAAATAAAACCTCGAGGATGTACAGACTTTACTGACTGCAGAACGTCGATGAGAAGAGATACTATGAGCACCACACAGCGATGCCTAGGACACGGTGAAGAGTGTGATGCTAGCATCCTCCCCCTATGAAAATCAGAATCGGCAGTACGCAACAGCTCACCACTAGTATTCCACGTTCTCTTTGACTGAATGCTTCTACCATTTTCCCGGTCCAACTATAAATTCTTGATGTAAAGTTATAATTTACTCTTGCAGTTCGCTCCAACCCGTAAGGTGTAGGTTCATACGCGTCCCACCCAGTCCAAGTCCAAGAACGATAATTCTGGAAGAGAACGGTTCTATATTTAATCATAAGGGGAAATTCAGACAATTACCAAAACAATATTACACCTTCGAGTTTCCAATTACCCGAATAGGTTCCGTTGCTGGAAGAATGAGTGCTTCCAGTCAGTTACTGCTAGAGTGTCAAATCCAAATATGGTTGTAGCTATATTAGATATCAAATTTAAACAACATGTGTACAGTTCAGAAGGACGCATAAAAGCCTCAATATAAGTACAAGATATAGAAATAATAACAATATACAATGCTAAAATCTCAAAATGGAATCAAATAGAGTACCAAAATATCAACAGAAAGAGTCAGTCATATCATAACGCAAATATATATACATGGAGGGATTTTCCAAAAACAAAACTTTCAAAATAGATTCTACGCTTGAAGGGACTATTTATCGGTCAGACATTGTATCTCTTTGCAAATCTTACTTTCATAGGCGGACGCTACAGTTTGACGATTCATTGACAAATGTATAGTAACAATGAACGATCAAATTTGATGTTTTTAAATGAATTTTATTTTACGTACTTTTCTTTAAAAAACAGTCAGGTTGTGTAGAACTAACCCGAGTGCCTTGTTTTCAAAATATTAGGCCCTCAACAGGTCTATGCTACGTGATAGGCTGAGAAAAGCGTTCTCTTCGTTAGAAAGTATGCAAATGTCGGGTATACAATAATGGAAAGATTCAAATACAACATTTATGGCAAGGGGAGGAAAATCAGGCTTGGTCGTTCTTTCAGGTACTGAGAACAGATATAGTCATAGCCAGAACTTTAGTTTTGACTAAACTTGTAATCTTTAAGTAACTCGCTGTTGGTAATGAGAAAACATATTCTTCTAGCATTGTCTTCTTTATGACTTGCCCAACTAAGAGAAATTGTTACAATTAAAAAGATCTAGAAATTCATATTTTCTAAAGCCTCATATTGTGTGCCAAAACTTCCTTTATTCATCGAATTCTAGGTGTTTACATTTAAAGTTTCAGCGGCCGAAAAACTTAATTTTAGTTACCTATACCGTTATAACAGTCTTAATTCATTTTCTTGACCGTCTGTGTCAGTTAGGACTCAGCGCAAAACTTATCGAGAATACTCAGGAACTAGCGATGTAATGTGGTCATATGATTGCATACAAAATTAACACTTAACAAGGATTCAGTTCTTCGGATTCCCTACGATCCATGTAGCTCCTTTTCAGAGTGGATGTATATTTTCCTAATTATAAGTGTGGATTTCGGCAACAGACAGAGTACTCATAATTTAATTAATCGCAAGTCAAGTTGATTCATGTCGCACTCAGCCTTCTAGTGTTTGTGTCATATTGCTGTTATTTACCTCAATTTCTAACCTCAGAATTTTTCTTCTTTGAATCTTCTATGAAGTGATTCCTTTAATCTACTCATAAATAATTGAATCTCGTCCATAAGTGAACGTAGATCCCTAATTTTCCATAATAAATGAACAGTCAGTGCCCTTTTAGCACTTCACTCGCTAAATGTACTTTAGGCTGAATATTTTATCGAAGTGGACAGCTCTAATTGCTGAAATACCGAAAGATATATTTAGGGCAGGTGATTTCTTAGGGTTTGTATTTCAGTCAGTCAGGTGCAACGTAGAACTTTGTACGTAAGTACATCAGTCCATATTGCCATACCACATCAGCACAGAGATGTAATTGTCAATTCAAATCCAATAGTAGAAGAGGTAGTAAAGGTATTAGAAGTAATCGAAGAGGTTAGGATTAGAAGATATTATTCAAGAAGTATGGTTCAGTGAGATAAGTTTAGAAAGTCAAAACTGGAGGTGTTGAAGAATAGGATTTGAGAGAACACAAATGCACCGGTGCCATTGCGAACGGTTTTGAGCCATGTCATTCAAGGTCTCTAACCATCGATTATTATCATCTCGCGGACCCCAACCAGGGTTTGCATTTATTATCGAAGCCTTACAGTTTTACTGACCCTGGTTTAAATTTGCAGATAGCTATACAGCAGTTGAGTTATCTTGCTCTCGAACTTACTACTCTGAATGTAGGGAACGATTTGGTTGCTATGAATACAGTTTTAATGGATATCATACCGACGTTGTACCAGTGAATTAAACTTGTATACGTAGAATCAAGGTTTCGTGTTACGATTCGTTGATTAGCAATGGGTTTGAGAGTTGGAAATAATTAATTATACCATATTTCGTTTTGTGTATTGACGTGAATTTATTTAGCTCGACTTCGATACATCGCGGGACAATATCCCTCCACAAATGCATACCCGTAGTAATACTACTTTCAATAAGCTATACTACTAAGTTCGACATCGATAACACCTGCATAAATTCGACTTCGCTGTTGCTGGCTGTCTGACCAAGCTCGTGTTTGACTTGACTCAGGTATACGCCATGGTTAGTTTGGTGATTGTTGATCTGTAACTACCTGTTGGAAATAATTACCCATCTTGCTGGGAATACTAATTTACCATGTATTTTATATGCTGACTAGTAGGTAATTTTCTGGTAGAGAAACCATCTGTAGTTAGGTTGCATTTACCCTCCTTAGTATCTCATAATTCCCTTGACTATATTAGTACAGGTCGAATTCAGCTGAATCGATATGATTCGAGCCATTCAAACACGCTTTTTTCGTTATACTTTGGCCTAATCAAATAAGCCTTGAGTTGTTAGCTCTATGTTCAGAACAATTACAGGGAATTTAGCAGTCCCACTGTGCTTACCCAAAAGTTTATCGAATATTTCAACCATAGAAAAACTACAGAATCGAACTACTTAGTCAACTACTTGTCAATTAAAATAATCGAATCGATCACCAGAGGTACGATTATCCTTATTACGGTTTTATACTATACAGTGCACCAGGCACCTACTGTTTACCACAGACAACGAAAAAAACTTATTAGATGTAGAAGTGGATATTGGAATATGTTCATCTGTAAAGTACTTGGGAAGCCTAGATCAACTGATCCCAAGAAAAGGACTGTTCGTGAAACGTTGATGAGGCCAGACTATCAGTCGAACAATAACTAATGAGTACCTCTCAAAACAGTCCCTAAATATCGTTTTCTTATAACAACAGAAGTGGTGTAATCCAAGAGATCGGTTGGTGTTGTGGACAAAAGATGTTGAAGAAACTGACATCTTGTCGAAATAATTAAGTAGTAGTATTTTTCCACTGATTACGGTGAAACGTAGACCTCTGACTTCAAACTAGTCAACTGTCGGTTGGTCCTCTATGTATTGGTAGGGGAACAGTTTAATGACTACGCCAACACCTTAAATAGTTCAAATGATATTCATTCCCAAATTACAGACCCTGGTGGATGTAAGTGACAAACCACAGCACTGGAAATCGAGGAAGGGTTATGACTAATATTATCATCTCACATATCTGACGTAACGTAACAGCTCCAGACACCACAATCTTTTTGATTATTTATCTATTAAAACGTTTACATATATACTGAATACTCCCCCCCCTTGATGTTTATTTAAAATTAACAAATAAGACAACTAACTGCTCAACAAATGACTATGTTTTAGGATCTTTTTTTTTTAATGGAATACACGAACCATATACAAAGCATAATCAAATAGGTTACATACACAGCAATGAATGAATAAGGCAACAATAGAAGTTCTCGTTTGTTGTGTTGTGTGCAAAGAAAAAAAACTAATCAATCATAGCTTATAATTTAAATCGAGAGCAGGGGAAATAAAGGATAACAACGAGGAGGAGGAGAGAAATATTCTTTGCTTTTTTCCATTTTTATTACATAAGAGGAATGTAAATAATCACCACTATAAGCAGAAATCATACTCTGTTTTACAAATCCATGGAATAAGATATTCACGTGCATTACAAATATCTAGTCTACACACACACACACACATATATATATATTGTAAATATATAAACAATGAATGATATTTGCATCGATTGAAATCATAATTTAACACACACATTGGACATTAAATAATTTTTTTTACATGAATAATGATAATAATTATTGTAGTAATCATCAATTGAAAAAAAACCTATACAGTAATAAACACACACCAATAGGAGTTGAAATGATGCTTTGTTATGTGTCTGGCTTAGAATTCATTCAACATAGAGGGGGGACTAACCATACCACCACCAGCAACAGTGCACACATCAGTGGAAATTTGCATAGAAAGTCTAACAAATATAAAAGATAAAAAAAAGATTTGAAAAAAATTATGATCTTACACAACACTGAAATGAACTGTTTTAATTGAAGCAACACAGATTATCAATAAGATGAGTGAATCAACAATAAGTGGAGAATAACAGTAGTTAGTCAGTCAATCAATCAGATGCAACGTAGAACTTCGTACGTAAGTACATCAGTTCATGTCGCCATACCACATCAGCACAAAGAAGTGATTGCCAATTCATATCCAATAGTAGTATAGGTAGTAAAGGTATTGGAAGTAATCGGAGAGGTTAGGATTAGAAGATATTATTCAAGAAGTATGATTTAATGAGAAAAGTTTAGAAAGTCAAAACTAGAGTTGTTGAAGAACCCAGAAGAATAAGATTTGAGAAAACACAAAGATTAAATGCACCGGCGCCATTGCGAACGATTTTGAGCCATGTCATTCAAGGTCTCTAACCATCGATTATTATCATCTCGCGGACCCCAATCAGGTAGTCGAGAATTACCGACATGGCTAAGTCCACTAGTCAATGACTTGATGGGTTTGTGCCATGTTTTGGTTTGGCCGCCCCCAACTTTCTTCCAACCTACTCCTACACTACAAAACAAAGCTCGAGGCAGTCGGTGGTTGGCATACGCAACACATGTCCCAACCACCTCAACTGATGAAGTTTCATTACTTCATCTATTGATCTGTCATTCTTACCTAGCACCCGATTCCTAATAACAGCGTTGCTCACTCGGGGTGTCCCACGATACGTGAGCAGTGCTTCTAAGACATCTATGATTGAATACTAGTAACTTACGAATATCTTCTACTCTCACTGGCCATGTTTCACAGCCATAAAGTAAGATGGAGCGAACTACTGCACAGTACACTGGTCCTTTAGTCAGTAACGGATATCTCGCCTACGCCATAAGTGACGCAGGTTGGCAAAAGTTAATTGAGCTTTCTGTATCCGAGCTGAAATTTCGTCAGTCACCAGGCTATCACCACTGAAGAAACTTACAAGATAAGTGAAGCGGTCTACACGTTCGACTACTTCACTCCCTATCACTAGTTCAGGTGCCGAAGAAACTCAATCTTGAAGCAACATTTTGCATTGCGAGGGGGAAAACCGCATCCCGAACATGCTTGCATTGTTGCTTAGGGTGGTCAGAAGACTCTGCAGTAAGAATATTGTTATTAAAATCCAATGACTGTATACCGTCATACATGTCCAATCTAAAGCTTTGGTTATAGGGAATTTTGTAAAGATCGTCGAATCTTATAAGTTGTATCAGAAACTAAACTTTAATTAAGTAACTATCGCAAACTAGCAAACCTTGTCCTAGTGTGGTGCGCGCTACTTATAAGTAGTATATGACGTGAGTGTCAGTCTGGCAGCAGAAGATGGGGGAAGATCAAGAAAGGAAGAGTGGGAACACAATGGAATTTGTGTGAAACGCTTGAATAGTGAAATGTCAGACAATCGATGGATGATGGATTGAAGATTTGCAAATTAACGATTTACGATATGGTTTTCCTATTTTACTGAGTAACTCTGTAATTTTCGTTAAATACAATTCGGTTGCCCTCACCTGTGTTCTCCTTCACTACACGAGTAGTAGTATAAGACTATGTTGTTCACAATTCGGATAAAGATGGACGGTTTAGACATTGGATTTAGTTACCCCAATACATAGAAAATGGTGGGAGATTTTGCAAAGCGATGTGCAATCAACAAACTGGTGGTCATAGGCAGCAACATATTCTCACACAAACGAATACACAAAGTGACATTGATTTCACCGGATCGCATTACACAAAACCAAATCAACCATATCTGCATCGATAGGAATTTCACATGGGTGATCAATGGAAGGCGTGAGAACAAACGGAAGAGCTAATATGCCTTCAGATCATCACTTTGTGGTGGTTAACATGAAACTAAACCTGGAGTAACACTGAGTGATTCAATTAACGACAATATAAAGGCTTAAAATGGAAAACCTTCAGGACGCTAATAATAAGATACCGGGTAAATTCTAGATAGCTTGCAGCGACATGTTCCATAGCCTTACAAGATCTATCAGGAAAAGATACTACTCTTTGGGAACAACCGGAATTAGGGTTAAAGAAGCAACAAATTCAACGTTAAACGATTTTACCTTTGCAGATGACCTAGCTTTTCTATCCTATACACAGAAACAAATGCGGATGAAGACAGACAGTGTAGTAGCAGACTGTAACATTATATTTCGACACACATAAGCAAAAAAGGTAGACTTTTAGATACAACACAGTAAGCACGAATCGAATCATACTTGATACTGGAGCTACATGAAGTGGAAACGTCAACGTACCCAGAAAATGACCAGCAATAAGGGGATCTCATGCAACTGTGAAGACACAGATTGGCAACATTCCTACAATAACTGAAGCACATCTAATACTCAAAACAACTATTAACCAACACCAAGCACAAAATTTTCAACAAAAAACGGTCAAGACTATTTTTAATTGTACGAAGCTGAAACTTGGAGAATTCCAAGTGTTCAGACACAGTGATTGACCTTTCATTCTGTTAGAGACGTTAGATCCCTAGAACTAACTTGATAAAGGTCCTAATTTCAGATTTTATATTTTCAAGCATGGGCTGATCACAGTTGACCTTGAGATCGCGTTTCTCACCTGGAAAATCTTTGACTGTTATTGGTTGATGTGTTATTCTAGTACGCTCTCAAGGAGATTTCTATCATGTATAAGTAAATTCGATTTATGTGTGCTTGTTGACCTCATATTTACTGGGTGCTTGTAGTGTAGTGTGCCGATGACTGCGTGTTCTTAAGCTCGGTTTATAAATCAGAAGATGAACTCGTATTGATGAATACGTTTATTCGAGGCACACCACAAAGCGAAGCGGAATTGGAGAAGGCTAAGGGCCAACTCTTTGGATTACAATGCGAGCGAATCAATGAAGCGAATAGGAGAAGGCTAGTGAGCCAACTCAAAGAGATAGAGTATGACTTAGAATATATAGTCAGATAAGTATAGGACAGACATATGACAAGCGAAATAGGTATGCACACACATGAATAAAAGCGACGAATGATTGACAAGGTCAAAAGCAAGCGATACAAATCATGTGAGTTCATGGGAAAATTAAGAGACTAACATTAAAGCGAAAAGGATGAGTAAGTGCGTAAGCGTAAGCAATGCTCAGCCGTATAAGCTCATACAAAGCAGATAATAAAAATTACCAACCGTACATATGAGTTGTTGCTATGCAAATAGCTTGGTTACATAAATTAATCAAAAGGCTTAAGCAAATTAAATGTAAGCGGATGCAAATAAATGTGGAGGCACTACAGTAGAATACACTTTCTACTCCAAATGAAGACTTCTTCCCCTACTTAGTTGGGCCTTATGATGCTCGGATTAGAGTAACCTGTCATGTCACTGTATCATTTGTCTTCGTTCTCGTTTACCGGACACTAAGGTGAACTCATAATAGTTGCAAGCATATCAAGTGACAAGTATAACACATTGATTTCACTAATCATACTTCTTGAAAAAAAGACTGTGCTAAAAGGTTACATAATTAAGATTAAGCACAATTTAGCTATTAACCGAGTTTTAACACAGTAACATTTGTTATATATTGAAAACAGGTTTATCGATTGAATCCAAACATGCTTGGTTGCGCTTTCTTGTGAACATGATAAAAATTAGACCATATATATATATATATATATATATATATATATATATATATATATATTTGTAACCATGAATCGATCAATGTTAGACCACCATTAGAAACCTGGAAGCACTGGACGGTGAGGAATCTTCTCCGACTTCTAGTAGGAAGTCGTGATCAGTGAAGTTCAAACCTGTCCGGATGTATACAGTGTATGAGATGGCGCAACTCCGTGAATTTGATCAAATTAGACATTAACACCGTTAAATACCGGCTCAGTGGTCTAACGGTTAGGGCGCGTACGCGCACAATACCGAAGGTCCTGGGTTCGAATCCTGCGGGGTGCAGGAGTCGTGGATGCGCACTGCCACTGCTGGATGAGTCCCATACCAGGACGAAACGACCGTCTTTCAGTGCTTCCAGGTTTCTAATAGTGGTGCTGGTCTAACGATGATCGATTCATGGTTAAAAAATAAAACTTAACAATCTTCACAACAACCCCCCCGAAATGTAACATAAAAAACTAATAAAACTTACTCTAATAAACAATTGAAAATCTTTCAAACTAGATTTTAATGCAGTTGTATAAGATTGAATTAGTTCAGTAGATAGTTGTTGTCTTGGTAGGAAATAATCTTTTAAATATATATACAATCCATCCTAAAAAATAAAATAGAATTTCGTCAGATTAGTTTGATCTGTTGAAAAAACCAGTGAATGAGTTTTATTTTACAGTTCAAAATAGTGTTTTTTTCACATTGAAATCATCAATCAATTGATTGTTAGACACCACCATTAGAAACCTGGAAGCACTTGAAGACGGCCGTTTCATACTCTGGTATGGGACTACTGATCTGTTAGTGGGATATAGATGGAATTAAAGCACGATTACGTTGCTGCGCGCTGATTGGCTAATTTCCTATCTAATCAGCGCCTGATCGAAGCTTGGAGAACAGGGTAGAAAATTCTCGTATTGTTAGCTGCATGCTAATTGGTTAAATCCAATCCAGTCGATCACGTGAATTTCTATCCAGAAGCTTTCTCATGTAAAGGCTATAAATAGACTAGCGTTGTATTTATTCTTTGCCTTGGCTTTCGCCATCACCTCCGGCTTCTTCTTCTTTGCAATTTTGGAATATAATCTTTTCCTGTTCAACCGTGTTTTGATTCTTGGGAACTTGTCCAGTGTTTTGTGTCAGAGAATACTAAGCAGTAGGATTTAGCCGGGAATTATTTAAGCAAGCATCGACGGAAAATATATCTAAGTAAGCGTTACAATAGTGGCGACGAGGAAAAAACTTCAAGATGCCTATTTCAGATGATCAGCTTAACCGAATACTACAACAACAGCAAGTACAATTGGATGGACAAATGCGCTTGTTGGCAGTGTGCATCAACGACTTCTGCACCTTGAAGGACTCGAACCCCCAGATTTTCGGTCTTCGAAGAATCCTGAGAGGTGCAGGAGTCGTGGATGCGCACTGCCATTGATGAGTCAGTCCCATAGCAGAGTACCAAACGGCCGTCCAGTGATTCCCGGTTTCTAATGGTGGTCTGTCTAACAATGATTGATTGATGATTCCAATGTGAAAAAACACTAATCTCCATAACTTTATCAAATGAATATTATATTGGTGTGTATGCAACTTAACAATCTCAATAAAATCCAATTCAATAGGTGATCAGTTGAAATATATTGATTTTATGCGATATTATTAAGGTTAAACGCATAGCACTCAAAAAATATGATTCATTTGACTGATCGGATTGTGAATTTTTCAACGATCGACCTGAATGAGTTATGTATGAGGTCGGTTTAACCATCACCTACACCACCTACCTACCTACGTACCTTGAAATGCAATGTTGACTAGTGTAGGAGTGGAATGGAATAAAGCTGAGTACAACAAAACCGAGATACAGGATTAATTCAATTTGGACTGATGTGTAAACAATCCAGGTTAAAGAACCTACTTGTTTTGATCAGGCAAGTTATAATATACACACACAAAACTATGTACTCGGTAAATGAGTTGGAAGAGTGTGAAATATTCCACAAAACAACCTCTCTTTAAACCACTAATTCCTACTGAGACAATATTAAAATCTTTCTAACGATTTGTGTTATCTAGATGTCGATTTACCAAACGAATCGAGGGTAAAAAAAGATTAATTCATGAAAAAAGTTAATTAACATAAACAATAATTTTTGATCGGACTATTTTTTTTAGAAGAAAAAAAACTGTCATTCAATGATTTCAACTAGTTTTTATGTCAGCTTATAGATAGTGTGGTGTTGTGGTGTGAGCTACTTATAAGTAGTATATGACGTGAGTGTCAGTCTGGCAGCAGAAGATGGGGGAAGATCAAGAAAGGAAGAAGAGTTAGAACACAATGGAATTTGTACGAAACGCATGAATAGTGAGTGACAATGGATTGATGTTGTTTGCAACAGGAACAGTCCAGTTCGATAGGATGAACTGATATTTTGCAAATTAACGATTTACGATATAGTTTTCCAATTTTACTGAGTAACTCTGTAATTTTCGTTAAATACAATCCGGTTGCCTCACCTGTGTTCTCATTCACTACAATAGTATAGACAATTCTATGGTTCTTTTTAAGGTCATATAGAAACTACCAAGTTTTAGACGGTACACAATCAGACAAGCACACAAACATATTACGCCGACAAATGGAGACAGACATGAGAAGAATGCACAACCACTGGACAGAAATGGAAAGGAAGGCCCAGGACAGAGTAGGCTGAAGAAAACTGGTCGGCGGCCTACACTCGATCGGTGAGTAACAGGCATAAGTAAGTAGGTAAGTCAATCAGGTTGGAAGAAAGTTAGGGGCGGCCAGACCAAAACATGGCAGAAATTCATGAAGTCATTGACTAGTGGACTGAGTCATGTCCGTAATTGTCGACTACCTGGTTGGGGTCGGCGAGATGATAATAATCGATGGTTAGAGACCTTGAATGACATGGCTCAAAATCGTTCGCAATGACGCCGGTGCATTTATTCTTTGTGTTCTCTCAAATCCTAATCTTCTGGATTCTTCAACACCTCTAGTTTCGACTCTCTAAACTTTTCTCACTGAATCATACTTCTTGAATAGTATCTTCTAATCCTAATCTCTCCGATTACTTCTAATTCCCTTTCTACCTATACTACTATTGGATATGAATTGACAATCACTTCTCTGTGCTGATGTGGTATGGCGACATGAACTGATGTACTTACGTACCAAGTTCTACGTTGCATCTGACTGACTGACTGGCTGAAGTCAATCAGCCAGTCGTACACAGTGTAGTACATGACACACGTATGCTTCAACGCATTGTAACATAACAAAACAAAATTGCCAGAGGAAATCGTGGACCAGCAGCTGTAGTAACATGATTAATGGTATGTGCATTTGATTGTAAAAAACACTGTATTAGCGGATTGGAGAAAAGATAAACAGAGAATCCATCTGCACCAATGTTAACCAGTCTTAGCCAAATCATTCAAACGATCTTCAACAATCCAGCAGACCTCAAACACAGGTAGTCTATGCAAAACAGTCAATAACTTTATGAATTGATGACACATTCTGGTTTGATCAAATCTAGTTATTTTTTTTCAAATTTACTCCTACACATCAGTGATTATTGTGCAGTGAGATAGTTTTATCTTCTTGTCAAGAAAAGAGATCACATTGTAACAGGTAAGTGAACTTTTGAGTTCACAAAGATGACAAAACACCAAAAACCCGATGACTTCATGAACAAAATATAAAGAAACGTTTTATGATAATCTCCAAGAGAGTATTTATGGAATGATAAGTATCATATATCACTGTTGCATTTAACTTCTGAAGTTCTATACAAGCATGAAAACAGTCACATTGTGGTGTCAGCTACTTATAAGTAGTATATGACGTGAGTGTCAACATAATGTCTGACAGACTGATATTTTGCAAATGAACGATTTACGATATGGTTTTCCGATTTTACTGAGGAACTCTGTAATTTTCGTCAAATACAGTCCGGTCGCCCCACCTGTGTTCTCCTTCACTACAACATTGCTTCAACAGGCAACTAACAGAATGAATTGTGGAGGCGGAGGGAAACGAGGTCAATGTTACGCATGTAACATGTAAACATGTCATTTTGATAGGCTTGAGCTATTACAAGTTTACCTTAGACGTGTTAGTGGGACATAGATGGATTTAAAGCATGATTACGTCACTACGCGCTGATTGGCTAATTTCCTATCCAATCAGCAGTGCCTGATCGAAGCTTGGAGAACAGGATAGAAAATTCTCGTATTATTAGCTGCATGCTGATTGGTCAAATCCAGCCCAGTCGATCACGTGAATTTTCTTCCAGAAGTTTTCTCATGTAAAGGCTATAAATACACTAGCATTGTATTTATCTTTGCCTTCAAGCCTTCTTCGCTTTCAAGCCTTTTTGCCTTGGCTTTCGCCATCACCTCCAGCTTCTTTTCTATGCTATTTTGGAATACAATCCGTCCTGTTCAACCGTGTTTTGATTTGTGTTACATGTCCAGTGTTTTGTGTCAAGAATACTAAGCAATAAGATTCAGCCGGGAAATATCGTAAGCAACCGTTACAACAAGACGGAAAACAACAACGAGGATCGAGGATCCGGTGACACGACAAGCTAATCTAGTCACAGTGTCCTAACCACCAATGAGTAAAAGCAGAAGACTTGATATGAAGTAGAACCTGTATACTACAAGAATCGAGAAAGTACGAGGTCTGACTCCAGAAAAGAATCAGTATCCGGGTCATTAAACGTTACAGATAATCCGTATTTATACAGTTAGGTTGAATAGGAAATAACATTGAAGTATGTGACCATAATCCCGACCGTAGCTGCTACCTTGACGTGGTGGTCGGGCTTGTCTATCGTGATGATCCAACCGAGCTATACTGGCTGGAACATATGTTCCTGCAGGTCCTACCATGCCAGGCAGGTCGATTGGAGAACGATGAGACTAAAATCAGCTATTCAAGGTCTGAGGACGAAGTCGTACTGCTGACTGCAGAGAAGTGTGACAGCAGCAGTAAGGTGTTTCGCTCGGACAACCAGCATCTGCAGCGATGCTGCTGCCTTCTCACAAGGAAAGAAGGGTTAGAAAAGGTCGACCCTAAAAATGTCACACCTCACCCTACCTTACGGATTTCCGTCTCCTTGGGTAAGGGTGCCCACTAAGGGCCTTTAAGAACGGAGCTAATCCTCAAAAAACATTTCATAAAAAGGCCATGCGTGACCGGCCTCAAGCAGTTGTCCCTTGGGCTCTGCGGTCACGCACCAACACTAATCCATCTTCCTTTTCAGGTCCCTCAAGAAACAACCTTCCACGGTGTGGGCAGCCGGGAAGTGACAACCGCCCTCATACCCGTAACAGCACGCGAGACCAAATTGGTCAAAATCAAAATGTGACCATAATATTGACCAGTAGGAATTGACTAATATAATTAGATTTACAATTATCTTGGATGAATATTGGATGAATATCCTAACAGTCAACTACTTACTTGTTTTTGATGTAAAACATGCAAACTTTCAGCAATTTTATCTAAAGCCAATATAAATTGACCATCAGACAAACGAAAGACAGGAGAAATTGGACCAAGTATAAAAAATGGAACAAGATGTGGTAATAAGAAATCTTCATAAAATTGTGTATTATGAGCAGCTGATTGAATAAGTTGTAAAAATAATATTATGCCTGAACGTAATCCAATCGGGTCATCCGTTTCTAAACAGGCTTGTACTTGTCCAAGTACAGTGGAAAGATTCTAAAATGTTAAATACACATGGCAGTTAAATGAGGAGAGCTATGAAAAGCTTAGACGAGAAAAGAAACAGCTACGATAATTGTGGTGAAGACATTTGTATTTTTAAGCATATACATACATGTTGAGTTTGAAAAAGTCAAGGATTATTGTATGAATTAAGGGCGAAATATGCACCCACGACTGGTATATCATGGAATAAGCCAGTCAAGCAATCAGTCATGTAAAAGCTCGATTGGCTTTTGCCAACCTGTGTCACTTATGGCGTAGGCGAGATAGTCGTTTACTAACCAAATGACGATTGTACTGTGCAGCAGTTCGCTTCGTCCTACTGTACAGATGCGAGACTTGGCCGTTAAAAGTAGAGGACTTCTGTAGGTTACTAGTCTTCGATCATAGATGTCTTCGAAGCATTGCTCGTGTATCATGGGACAACCGCATAGGCAATGCTGTCGTTAGGAAACGAGTTCTAGGTACGAATCGGAAATCAATAGATAAAGTATTCAAACTTCATCAGATCAGGTGGATGAGACATGTGTTACGTATGCCTAACCACAGACTGCCACGACGAGCTATGTTTTGCAGTGTAGGAGTAGGCTGGAACAAAGTTAGGGGCGGCCAAACCAAAACATGGCACATGCATGAAGTCACTGACAAGTGGACTCAGTCATGTTGGTAAATGTAGGCTACCTGGTTGGGGTCCGCAAGACGATAGTAACCGATGGTTAGAGACCTTGAACGACATGGCTCAAAATCGTTTGCAATGGCACACGTGCATCCACTTTTTGTGTTCTCTCTAATTCTAACCTTCTGAATTCCTCATAATCTCTATCTCTCTCCTTCTAAATATATCTCACTGAATTCTACTTCTCGAATCATATCTTCGCTCCCTAATTTTCTTCATTACTACTAATAGTTCTATTACTGCCATCACTCTTGGATTTGAACTGAAAGTTGCGTCTCTGTGCTGATGGGGCATGGCAACCTGAACTGATGTACTTACGTACGAACTTCTGAGTTGTATCTGTCTGTCTGTCATGTAAAACGTAGAACTTCGTACGTACGTACATCAGTTCAAGTTGCCATACAACATTAGCAAACAAAGATGCAATTGTCAATTCAAATCCCATGGTGTTAGAGGTAGTAATCTTAAGGATCACGATCAAAAGACATTAATTCATGTGGAGTTCAGATTAGAATTCGGGAAAACACAAAGTGCGGATGAACCTGCGCCATCGCAAACGGTTTTGAGCCATGTCGTTCAAGGTCTCTAACCATCGATTACTATCATCTTGCGGACCCAAACCAGGTAGGCTAAACCTACCAACACGGCTCAGTCAAATTGTCAGTGACTTCATGGATTTGTACCATATTTTGGTTTGGCCGCCCTTAGCTTTCTTCCAGCCTATCATCCATACACCACAAAGCATCGCTCGTCTAAGCACATGTCACAACCACCTAAACTGATGAAGTTTCAATCTATTAATCTGCCATCCTCCTTACACAGTACTCGTTTCCTAAAAACTGCATTGCTTACTCGGTTGCCCTTGAAGGCATCTATGATCGATTACTAGTAACCCACGAATATATTCTACTCTGACTGTCCATGTTTCGCAACCATAAAGTAGGACGGAGAGAACTGTTGCACAGTACACTCGTCCTTTAGTTAGCAGACAGATATCTCACCTGCGACAAAATGGCAAAAGTCAGTCAAACCTTTCGTATCCGTAATGAGATTTCATAAGTCACCAGGCCATCAGCATTGATGAGACTTCCAAGGTAAGTGAAACGGTCGACATGCGCACACATGACAAAGAATGGAAAAATAATAATCATTTTATCTACTAGTTATCTATAAAAAAAAACCAACTCACTTGTACAATATTTTCACTAATAAGTTGTGAAAATACATCTGGAACTGATTGATATATAGTTTGAACTAATTGCAGATAACCACGACGTAATAATTTACGTTCTTCAATTAATGTTGGATGATTTGGTGGTAAAGGTTCATTTAAAGCATTGATGATAACTTCCATTAAATGTGGCAGACAACTTGATAAAAATGGAATACTTTGATTCTATAAAAGGGAAAAAAATGAAAATGCACAGCATACAACAGACCAGTTTAGTGCTTGTTACATAAGCTTAGTGTACTGAACATATAAAGGTAAGTATACAGTTCACTACTGACATATTTATTTAAGTCAGATGAAGAATAGCTTAGTTGAACACCTTTCAATATTGTTTTGGGCATTAATAGAATTTAAGTCATTTAGTAATTAGCACTGTTGTTGTTAGGAAACGGGTACTAGGTGTGAATGGCAACGCGAGATTGAGGGGGTCCGCGATATGATAGTAAACGATGGTTAGAGATTTTGAATGACATGACTCGAAATTGTTTGCAGTGGCGCAGATGCATTCACTCTGTGTTCTCACAAATTTTAATCTGATCTCTTCATGACCTTCATCTTTTCGTCCTCAAATCTTGTTAGGATATTCATCCAATATCCTAAGAGAATTATAGGTCAATTGCTATTGGTTAATTTCTACTGGTCAATTTTATGATCGTTCTAGATATCAATGTCCCGTGCTCCAATATTGTTTCTTATTGGTCGTCTTAACTGCGAATGTCACAGACTTCGATGATAATTCCTATTCAACCTAAGTGTATATATATGCATTATGTGTAACGTTCTATGACCAGGACCCAGTCCGGGATCCTGAGTCTCTTCTAGACTGAGACCTCGTACTTTCTAGATGCTTGTAGAATATACGTTCAACTTCATATCCAGTCTTCTTTCACTCAATGGTGGTTTGGGACACTCGAATTGAGTAGCATGTCGTGTCGCCGGATCCTCGATCCTCGCTCTCGTTTTCCGACTTAGGTAAACTCGTAATAGTTCGAACATATCAAAATGACGTGTTTACGTGCACGTGTAACAAATCTATTTCACTAGATTAAACTTATTGAATAATATTTTCAAACGCTAATCTTTCCAATTACTGCACATAATTCTACTACCTCTACCACAATGGGATTTAAATCAACGACTGCATCTCTGTACTATCGAGGTATAGCAACTTGAACTGATGCACGCGTGTACGAAGTTCTACGTTGAAACTGACTGACTGACTGACTAAGCAATGTGCACTACGCAAGCACTGTTTCTTCAGTTTTTTCTAATGGAATAACTTAACTTTCCACATGAAGTAAGAATTGATAGTATTATTTAGGATGACAATAAAAGGTTTGAAATGAGTAGCAAGTTCAGAAAAAACTCAACAACACCGAAAAACATCCTTTTAAACTGTAAATTTTCTTTACTGGTCAATTTTGTAGATTCCAATAAATATTTTTCACCAACAATTGACACTGAGAAGAATTCTATCGACTACATAATAATACTGCTAGAGTCATTTACAAAGTAGAACTTCGTACGTACGTACGTACTTACATCAGTTCAAGTCGCCAGACCACACATTATTAACACAGAGACGCTCGATATGAGCGGGCGGGCAGTCAGGAAGTGACAACCGCACCCACATGAGACCAAATCGGTCACAATCAATACTGCTAGAGAATAATAAGCCCAATAATCTATCCCAATTTCTAGGATATATATTAACAATAAAACGCTGACAAAGTCTTCTCTATACACACAGGTGTAATAAGATCAATGCGCAATCGAAACTATTCCATGAATTTTTTAACCTACACGCATTGATTGTTATTCTGAAATATTTAAAATTTAGAGATATTGATTAGTTTCATGAATAATTTTGAATTATTATTATTATTATGAAAGTGTTTGAGACTGTGAGGAGTGGATGATACAAGTTATTAGGCTATTTATTACAAAACACTGGTACATAATTACGCTTATAGTTGTGTAGTGGAGTTGATATTGAAAAGAGTTCTTGTTTGAGAGTGTTACACCAATAATGAATTAGTTTAGTTAGTTAATTGCAATGTAAAACTTGATACTTCCCTACAAACAGTTCTAGTTGCTATACTACATAACCACACACAGAGATGCATTTTGTCAATTCAAATCTCATAGTAGTAGAGGTAGTAGAAGTATTAGCTGTAATCAAAGAGATTATTGATTGAATATATCATTCGAGATGTATACCCAAGAGGAACCGATTAGAAAAAAGCAACGAAAAACGATCATCAGGAAATCAAAAGATTAGGATTTGAGAGAACACAATGAATGAATGCACCTACGCCATTGCCAACGGTTTTAAGCCATGCTATTCAAGATCTCTCACCAACGACTACTATCATTTCACAGAATCCAACCAATGGATTCAGAAACTTAAAATTTGCGGAGCGCGGGTAGGACAAAGAATCGATCGATACACTCTACGCTAGTGTAAACCAACTTTGAATCAATGTCGTTCAATGTCTCCAACTACTGGTTACGATTATCGCGCGGGACAACTGTCAATATGAATTTATAGACTGGTAGGTAACATGTTTTGGTTTGGCTTTCTTTAACTTTAACCCACCGCTACGTCGACATCACACAACACTACTCATTAGGCCCGCTAAGCAATTGGTTGTCCTAATCAACTAAGCGGATTTTTCAAATTTGTCTAGTACTCTATCTAATAACTCACATGTTGCTTACTCGGTGGTCTCAGTACATAGAGAGAAAAGAATAGTTTAGGAAAATAAAAATACAATCTCATTCATATGAAGTAATTTTACACAGTTGTCTGTCTGCTGGCTATTCACAGTTAATGGCCAATTACCATTTATTTCCGCGAATGAAAATACTTGTATCACAGACAATTATGTAATTCATTGAAATCATGAATCGATCAATGTTAGATAGAAACCTGGAAGCACTGGACACCCGTTCTGTTCTGGTATCGAACTACTCATCAGTAGCACTGCGAATCCATGACTCCAGCACTTAGAGGGACTCGAAACCAGGACCTTCGGTCTTGCGCGCGAACGCCTAACCTCTGGACCACTGGGTCGGTATCTGACGGTGTTAATATCTAACTTCGATCAATTCATGGTCTTGCGAAACCTTATACACTGCCTTCGGTAGTTACTGTCTACATTCGAACAGGTTGAACTTCACTGGTCACGAGGTCAATGAGTAACTTGACAATCTTCACAATGCCATAATGCAATCATGTAATTTTAAAACATCTATCCTGTTAACCAGTTAATTCATTCGAAGGCTCTTGTGTCAATAATACATTCTTGATACCAATTTATCAATTAGTCGACATTATATAAATATACACTATACATTTATCGACCAGGATTCTATTTGCAATCTCCGCCTGGAGCCCCTACTTGGGCTGCTACTGCTGATCCCAAGCCGGTCGAATAAAATAGGAGGGTTGGGTGTGGGGTTAGCGATCCAACCCCGTAGAAAACTAACTCGCTTTAAAAACGCTAACCAGAAAAAATCAAGCTCTATTTTTGTCAGGACACAAAACAAACAAATAAACAGAAGAGAATAAAAATCGATTGTTATGGGGAAATATGAATTGCATTGAATGTGTGTCCTATCCACATTCAGCGCTGATTTTCTAATTTCTTTCTCAGTTGGAATCTGATTCAGTCCCTCCAATACAATAGCTTGTTGCTGATAGTGTCTGGCCGACAGATCCTTAGTACCTTGTGTGTAGACAACTGTTAATAAACACCTATGACCTTTTAGATGATGACATTCATAGTTCTCGTAGCTTCCGCTACATACAATAGAACTGTTTTATTATTTGTGCTGTTTTGAAGGATGGTTTGATGTGATCCTAGAACCATAAGATTCTCATCCTATAGGAGATTTTTGTGCTTGTTTGCACAGCATCAGTGCAACTCCTTGTGAGCGCGTGTGAAGGAGAGAGAGCGACATTCTTCTCTTCATATGTCGATACAGATTGAACAACTGTAGGTTTCAATGCCAACAACGGAGAAACACACGCAGTGATTGAACAGTTTTTAAGTCACTGAAAACAATGCGAATTGATTCAACATTGAATGAGCAAACTCTTCTCGAAGGTTTTTTTCATGTTAACTGACTATATATTACGCATCTAGCACACAATTACAATACAGAGATCATTACAAACAAAGCATAAGGTGGTGTAACCCTTTTCATCAACTGAAAATGTGGTCGACAATGAATTGTATGATATATGTTAGGATATTCATCCAATATCGTAAGAGAATTATTGGTCGAATCCCATTAGTCGATTTCTATTGGTCAAAATTATGATCGTTTTAACTGTCAAAGTCAAATACTTCAATGTTGTCTCTTATTGGTTGTCCTGATTATCAATGTCACTCCAAATGTTGCTTCCTATTGGTCGTCTTAACTGTCAATGTCACACACTTCGATGCTGTTTCCTATTCGACCAAAATGTATAAATACGCATTATCTGTAACGTTTTATGACCAGGACTAAGACCCGGTCCGGATCCCTAGTCCGGTATCCCGATTCTCTTCTGGATTCGGACCTCGTACTTTCTGGATACTTGTAGAATACACGTTCTACTTCATATCATGTCTTCTTATTTTAACTAAATATGAGGGTTGTAATAATCGGATTTGAGTAACATGTCAAGTCACCGGATCCTCGCTCTCTCGTTTCCGACTAGGTAAACTCGTCATAGTTCAAGTATATCAAGTTGACGTGTTTACGTGCAGGCGTAACAATATATAACTAGATATAACACTAGAAAACAGTTAAGGAAATCAAATCATGACTACTATGTCTGTCTACCTTATATCTGAGTACAACTTGTGTAACAAGCGGTATTACATCACGAATTTCTTTCCAACGTTGTTCTGCATCCACTGTATCTAACACTTCATTACCAGCAGTAGTAGTAGCAGTACCAGTGACTGCGAGTGATTGTAACGGTTTCACTAATTTCGGTACAGCATTTACAAGGGCAGCCAGCAGTACATCCGATGTCAATGTACTTCTACAACCAATGGAATTTGATTCATTTGTTGGTATAATACAAGCAACCATTCGATGTAAAAATGCACGAACACCAGCACAAGCAGCTTGTCGACCAGGACTGGTGGCTTCTGTAGGAAAACGTGATAATTCGGATATGATAAGTTGCATTGCATCAATTAACACGGTTTCACATCCAGATGTCATAATTGATTTGGGTTGAGAAAAGACACGAGTTGTTTTGCTAAATAATAAATAGAATTAAAAGGTGAAATAAATATATATGTCATTTAAGTGAATACGAAGTAACATGATTGTAACTAATTAGTGTGGGTATGGAGGAATCTCAACCGAGGAGGGTCGGATGGCTACAGGATCAATCAATCAACAGAAACGTAGAACTTTGTACGTGAGCACATCAGTTCAAGATGCTATACCACATTATCAAAGAGATGCAACTGTTAATTAAATTCCCATTGCAGTAGAGGTATTTGCAGTAATCGGGGAGATTGCAGTTCAAAGATGTTGTTCAAGAAGTATATTCCAATGAAATAAACTTAAAAGAGAAAGATAAACGTGATGAGGAACTCCAAAGGTTAGGATTTGAGAGAACGCAAAGAATGAATGCATATGCGCAATTGATAGCGGTTGTAAGGCATGTCATTCAGGGTCTCTAACCATCGCGCGGACCCCAACCAGGTAACCTACATCTACCAACAGGACTCAGTCCACTTGTCAGTAAATTTATGGATTTCTGCCGTGTTTTGGTCTAGCCGCCCCTAACTTTCATCCAACCTATCGCTGTACCGCAAAACATAGCTCGACGAGGCAGTCGGTGGTTAGGTATACGCAACACATGTCCCAACCACCTTAATTGATGAACTTTCGATACTTCATCTATTGATCTGACATCCTTACACAGGACCCGTTTCCTAATAACAGAATTGCTTACTCGGTGGTCCCAGAATATGCGAGAAATGCTTCGAAGACACGTATGATCGAAAACCATCAACCTAAGAATATTTTCTACTCTGACTGACCCCGTCTCACAGGATCATAAACAAATGGCGTATGAAGCCATACTTGGTCACCGACTACCGTGGGACTGCATCTCACAATGTTACTCCCACTACTGCTCTGTGAATTAAACATTTAGATGAAAAAATGAGGAGTGACCCCGTAAGCAAACCATCTGCTTTGTGGTTTGATTTCCCGTACAGCAGCCAAGCCCATAATACTTACATTCAATGACTTGTATGACGCATATATGTTCAGGTGCCTATTTGTACTAATGTTAAGGTCTTTAAATAAATACACATTATTTGTGATGGGCTTTGCGTAGTGATGACACAATAAAATCCACATAGAAGACCGGATTAGTGGGTGAATGGTAGGGATTAGAGCATAGGTGCATGAATAAGTGTACTGGTGAGATTTACAGTAAAACTAAGTGATTTAATATGTATTTCTAACTTATTAAGATAAGATTTTGCGGTTATAAATGATTAGATCAGTGTAAAAACAACAAATCAGTCCCATTAAAATATTTAAGGCCCTACAAAAAAGGATAGGAGTTGACCAGTTAGAAATTGCAGTATGATTTTAACACTCACTTAAGTAAGTTAAACTCAAAGCGGTTGAGAAGAACTTCCAACAACCAGTTCAGTAAACGGATAGTGTTAATCTTTTATTACAACTGTTTATTCATGGCAAATATCAAATCTAAGCACAAACAAGGATACTATTCGGTCGCCCAATCTCAGCAAAGACCGATCGCGACCGTTGGCTGATGTTCGATAGAGAACTTCAACGTTTTTCTAAAGCAAGAACCTATCCTTTCCAAGAATCAATGCTAAATCACAGAAGTACAATCTTCAAAGGAATATTTTTAGGATAAAACAATCAAATTTGTCTGTCATGAAGAAGTAGTTACACACTTCTCCTATCATACAGAAAGTATCTTAGTGATACATGCTAGGAACTCACACTAAACAATTGAGAAGTCAGTTCAGTCAGTCAGTTGCAACGTAGAACTTCGTACGTAAGTACATCAGTTCATGTCGCCATACCACATCAGCACAGAGATATAATTGTCAATTCAAATCCAATAGTAGAAGAGGTAGTAAAGGTATTAGAAGTAATCGGAGGGGCTAGAATTAGAAGATATTATTCACGAAGTATGATTCAGTGAGAAAAGTTTAGAAAGTCAAAACTAGAGGTGTTGAAGAATCCAGAAGATTAGGATTTGAGAGAACACAAAGAATAAATGCACTGGCGCCATTGCGAACGATTTAGAGCCATGTCATTCAAGGTCTCTAGCCATCGATTATTATCATCTCGCGGACCCCAACCAGGTAGTCGACAATTACCAACATAGCTAAGTCCACTCGTCAATGACTTCATGGATTTCTGCCATGTTTTGGTTTGGCCGCCCCTAGCTTTCTTCCAACCTATTCCTACACCACAAAACAAAGTTCGTCGAGGCAGTCGGTGGTTAGGCATACGCAACACGTGTCCCAACCACCTCAACTGATGAAGTTTCACCACTTCATCGATTCATCTGCCATTCTTACCTAGTACCCGATTCCTAATAACCAAACAATTGAGAAAGAAAATAGATTTCGGAAATCCCTAAAAAAAAATGACAGATCTTGAAGAATTCACACAATGACGCTTTGAATACGATCAATAACCAAGACAATGTACATGCAGACATCCAAAGAGCTTAATGCAATGATCTTAACCAGCAGTGAGCAACAGGAAAACGGAAGAGAAGAGAAGTAATACGACGTAGCTGTTAACGGCAGTGTCGGTGTTTTTAAAGTAATTGAGTAACCCGATACCAAGTACAAACTAGTAAACGAAACTGTAATTCACGCTCTAGGAGTGTATTGTAACGCTTGCTTAGATGATTCCCAGCTAAATCCTATTGCTTAGTATTATCTGACTAATCAATACACTGGACAAGTTCCCAAGAATCAAAACACGGTTGAACAGGAAAAGATTATATTCCAAAATAGCAAGGAATAAGAAGCCAGAGGTGATGGCGAAGGCAAAGAAGGCAAAAACAGATACAACGTTAGTCAATTTATAGCATTTACATGAGAAGCTTTTGGATAGAAATTCACGTGATCGACTGGATTAGATTTAACCAATCAGCACGCAGCTAACAATACGAGAATCTTCTACCCTGTTCTCCAAGATTCGATCAGGCGCTGATTGGATAGGAAATTAGCCAATCAGCGCGCAGCAACGTAGTCATGCTTTAATTCTATCTGTCCCACTAACAGAGTGAACGCTAGTAACATTGCCCGGTAGCAAATTCAGTGGCTGGAAATCGACTCTTTATATCAGCTAAACACCACAGATTCATTACACTGCTGTACCATAATAAAAATAAATAAAACTTACGTAATCAAATCAGTGACTTGTTTCACTAAAACTCCACGAATTTCAGCTAATTTCGGATTTTGTTCTGTAACAAATTTTGTTACAAATTGATCATATTGAATCATAACAGGTGTCAGAAGAACACGAAATAATTCACCGACACGATCTACCCCACCACCACCACCATTTGTAGTTAAATGATCAGGCGGTTGAAGAATTCCACCGGCAGCGATCAACTGTGCTGCAGCTTCATACAAGAAACCTTGTTCAGTAATGCCTAGACCGGTTTTACCAGATTTCCCAATATTCATTGTATCATCACAACAACCATTGACAAAGTTAACATTACCATTCAACTGGTCACCATTTAATAATAAAACACTACAATCTGGTTCTAATGATAATTCTAATAAATCAGAGAAACGTGATAAATATCCTTCGATATGTGGAAGCAGAGTTTTTCTACAGTGAGTGGATAAGAAAAATAATGAACAGTTATGAAGATCAGTATTTGTACACAATCAAACGTTGTAAGATCACCATTAGAAACCTGGAGGCGGCACTGAAAAACGGCCGTTTTTGTCCTCGTTATGGGAAAATATCCTACAATGTACTCACTATTGAATAGTTTCATGAGGAAATTCTCTAAGTTCTAGTGAGAAGACACGATCAGTGGAGTTCCAGCCTGTCGGGTGTAGAGGCAGTAACTACCGAAGACAAATGGATGAGGTCACGCGAAATCCCTAGATTAATCAGAATTAGACATTAACATCTATGCATGCCGGTCTAGTGGTCCAGAGGTTAGGCGCTTTTGCGCAAGACTGCAGGTCATGTATTTTTGTTATAAATATTCAAAAATTAATGTTATTTCACCAAATATCCTAAGAGTATTATTTTTGGAAGTATAATCCTATTGGTCGATTTCTATTGGTCAAAATTTTATGGTCGTTTTAACTGTCAAAGTCAAATACTTCAATGTTGTCTCTTATTGGTCATCCGGACTGTCAATGTGATCCAAAAATGTTCTTTCCTATTGGTCGTCCTAAACTGTCAATGCCACAGAATTTGATGCTGTTTACTATTCGACCTAAATGTACAAATACGCACTATCTGTAAGACTGCCTACTTCTCTTCTGCACTCGGCCCAATAAACAACTCCATCCAACGGTGTTGTGTTTTGATATATAGGAGATTTGGGAATAGTATTTGGGTCGTGTTGGAAGATTTGAATTCGGACGTCGGTAGGATATGAATAGATAAGGAGCAGCATTATAACACTTATTTACCGGATTAATGTACTTAGGTTTGAGTTATGACTCTTTCTATTTGACAGGCTAGTGATACACTGTTATTCAGTTGGTTAAATTAACAATCGATAGGAATATGAGCCAGTGACAATTTTTTTTTATAAGGAGCTAAATGTGTTCATTCATAACTTATTAGCGTTTCAAATGAATAGAAAATATTACTAGTAGGATTCCCAGAATAAAACTTAAAAGACTAGGGATATGAAACAGCAATTGACAAATGATGAAACCCAGGACCAAACCGAAGAAAAACAGCAAAATAATCTGTTCCAGTGTGTGACTGATTAAATATAATGTTACCCAAAGACACTAACTGCAAATCATTGTTGTCAGTCAGTCAGTTAATCACAATGTAGAACTTCGTACGTACATACATCAGTTCAAGTTGCAATACCATGTTAGCACGCAGAGACAAAATTGTCACTTAAAATCTCATAGTGGTAAAGACAGTAGAAGTATTAACAATGATTGAAGAGATTATGGTTCAAATAGTAGAATCTAGTGAAATAAACTTGCCAAGAGAAAGATAAAGGTGGTGTAGAATACAGAGGACTGGAATTAGGGAGAACACAAAGAGTGAATGCACTTGCGTCATTGCAAACGATTTTGAGCTATGTCATACAAGGTCTCTAACCATAGGTTACTATCATCTCGCGTACCTAACAGCATGGCTCAATCCACTTGTCAGTGACTTCATGGACTCGTGTCATATTTTGGATTGGTTGCCCCTAGCTTTCTTTCAACCTACTCCTACACCACAAAACATAGCTCGTCGAGACAGTCAGTGATTGGGCATACGTAACACATGTCCCAATCACCTCAACTGATGATGATGTGCCATCCACACTTAGTACCCGTTTCTTAACAACAGCATTGTTTACTCAATAGTCCCAAGAGCGGAGCTAACACTTTGATAAAAACTTCCCACAAAGAGATCGTGCGTGACCGACTTCAAGCAGGTATCCCTTGGGCTCTCTGCGATCACGCTCTCAGGCGGCTCAGACCAACGCTAACAGGATTTCCTTTACAGATTCCTCAAGAAGTATCCTTCCACGATAGATGTTGTTGTTAATGGACAATTTCTGATTGATATCGATTTGTGAACAGGTAAACAACAGATGAAGAACAGAAAATTACGTGATAGAACACATACACAAAGTAAAATAGTTTCTTCATTAAGTACAAATGAAACTTTTGAAAAAAAGAAGCTTTTTTCACAAAATTAATGCTTACTTGTGTGATTTTATAATACGATTAATTAGATAAGCGCATCGTATTCTAACACTATGCCATGGACTATGCAAACCTCGTTCATCAACAAATGCAAGCTAAATGGAATTTCAATGGGGATGGGGGGGGAGAAGAAAAAGACAAAATGATACATTTTTTTAAAATAAAAAGAATTGAAACCATACTGTGTTAGGATAACCACCAAAAATCCTAAGAGTACTAATTTTGGAAATATGATCCTATGGTCGTTTTAACTGTCGAAGTCAAATACTTCAATGTTGTCTCTGATTGGTCGTCCTAAACTGTCAATATCACAGACTTCAATGCTCTTTCCTATTCGACCTAAACGCATTAATACGAACTATCTGTTAGACTTCATGATTTCGTTCCTTCTTGCCTACTTCTCTTCTGTACTCGACCCAACTCCATCCAACGGTGTTGCGTTCTGATGTATAGGAGATTTGGGAATAATATTTTGGCTCGTATTGGAATATTTGAACTTTGACGCCGCTAGGATTGAATAGATATACGTAGCAGCATTATAATAACACATACATCACAGGCAATGGTCTTTGTTTGTTGATAAATTATCGGTTAATCCATAGTAGTATTGAAAATTTCGATGCTACCATAATTACGGCTACATTATTCAAGAAGTGAATTGATTCACCAACAACAACTGGTCACATAGATTTTTGTCAAACTGTAAGAAGTTGGTCAACTAGTGAGTCATACATGAATGTAGAACTTGGCACTTAGGTGTATCAGTTCAATTGGTCACACTAGAACCTTACAACAACAGTGACATGCCAGAGTAGTAAACGTAGCGACAGCATTGATGACATTAGAAACGAAAACAGATATAGCCAGCGAAAAAAATGGATTCGTGAAATACAAACTTAAAAAAGATAGAACCTAGGGACTAAGAAAGAGAGAGACAGAATAGAGTTACTCAACGTCTTTAAATAATGGCTATAATAATCATGCGGATCCCAACCGGACAGTTTACACCTACCTACATAGTTCAGTTCGACTGTCAATAACTTTACTTACTGAAACTGTGTTTTGTTTTGGACATTCCTAGCTTTTCTTAAACGTGGTAGAATGAGCACACGTAATGTTAGGTGATGAAGATTCACTACTTCATCTATCCATTTGCCATGGTTACCTAGTACCTTGACTCTAATCGTCTCCATTACTAGTAATACTTCTACTATGTCTACCACTATAGGATTTGAACTGACAATCGGATCTCTGTATGCTAATGTGGTATGGTAACCTAAACTGATATACTTACGAACGAAGTTCCACGTTGTAACTGACCGACCTAGTGCCTTGCATCTATGGTCTAATACCAGTAGTAACTACAGAATATCATCCTTTTACAAACCATGATTCACGTTTATGAAATGAAACAGAGTGAACTACTTGTAGTTTAGTAAGAACACCTGAGTGTAGACCACGCTACAAGTTATGTAAGCTGGCAAAAGCAAACTGTGTTCTCAACCCGTACCAAGATTTCATCAAACACCGACATACAAAAAAACTGAAAAGAAATCCAAGTTAACAACTGGTGAGATTTCTTTTCAATTTTCAATAGATTTATTCAAAAGACTGTGAAATCAATAACAATTTATATTCCTAAGGCAATGGGAATGGAAACACTTGAACCGCAATCACTTTTCAACAGAAACATAATAAGTGAAGTTCAACTTGTACTATAGGTTGTTACATTCATTGCATAGGTTAACTGCATGTGATTGGTTATATATACAATTTCTTTTATGATGATGAATAAATAGTTTTATTTGCTTTAAAAGTCAGTCAGATGCAACGAAGAACTTCCTACGTAAGTACATCATTTCATGTCGCCATACAACATCAGCATACAGAGATGTCATTGTCAATTCAAATCCAATAGTAGAAGAGGTAGTAAAGGTATTAGAAGTAATCGAAGAGGTTAGGGTTAGAAGATATTATTCAAGAAGTATGATTCAGTGAGATAAGTTTAGAAAGTCAAAACTAGAGTTGTTGGAGGACCCAGAAGATTAGGATTTGAGAGAACACAAAGCATAAATGCACCGGCGCCATTGCGAACGATTTTGAGCCATGTCATTCAAGGTCTCTAACCATCGATTATAATCATCTCGTGGACCCCAACCAGGTAGTCGACAATTACCAACATGGCTAAGTCCACTCGTCAATGACTTCATAGATTTCTGCCATGTTTTGGTTTGGCCGCCCCTAACTTTCTTCCAACCTATTCCTACACAACAAAACATAGCTCGACGAGGCAGTCGGTGGTTGGGCATACGCAACACATGTCCCAACCACCTTAACTGATGAAGTTTCAATATTCCATCTACTGATTTGCCATTCTTACCTAGCACCAGATTCCTAATAACAGCGTCGCTCACTCGGGTGTCCGACGATATACGAGCAATGCTTGGAAGACACCTATGATCGAAAACCCATAACCTACGAATATCTTCTACTCTCACTGGCCATGTTTCACAGACATAAAGTAAGACGGAGCGAACTACTGCGCAGTACACTCGTCCTTTAATCAGTACGAGTCAACATTTTATAACAACTGACTGGTCTCCTCCATACGCATATGCAAACATCACCTGACAAGTATATTTACATCACGTGAACATATGCACAAACGAATGAAGGTAGTTTTACATGAATTTAACCTAATCTAATCCAACAAGTGTCATTTGTTTCATTCGACATCAACCGTACACACGATGCTTCCGGATAACAGTACTCCGTGTTAAACATGCTATTAACAATACCCAGACTATCGTTACATGTTATATTAATTATTGTTAAATTAGTGAAAGGAAGTGACCAGCCATGTGAATATTTGACGCATTCAATTTGTCATGAAATTTGCTGTGCGATGATTACATGTACTCGTTTGGTTACTCAGACTGGATGCAAAACTAGAAAGCTGTACTTTTAGACCAAAGTTTACATGTTTGCATGCAAATTTAGTAAATACACAGTAAATCAAATTTCTGAATCAGAAGAAACTACGTTGTAACTGATTGATTCGATAAAATTTGACTGGCTAGAGTGCACTCAACATTTTTTAAAAATCTTCTTACACAATCGTATACATTTTTCTTGCTACCTTGACGTAGTGGTCGGGCTTGCCTATTGTGATGACCCGACCGAGCTATACTGACTGGAACATATATGCCTGTAGGTTCTACCATGCAAGGCAGGTCGATTGGGAAACGGTGAAACTGAAAGCAGCAACTTAAGGTTTGAGGGCGAAGTCGTACTGCTGACTGTAGAGGGGTGTGACAGCAGTAAGGTGTTTCCCTCGGACAACCAGCATCTGCAGTGATGCTGTCTTCTCACAAGAAAGAAAAGGTTGACCCTAAAAATGTCACACCTCACCTTACCTCACGGATTTCCGTATCCGGCGATAAAGCCTTTTAATCAAGAACGGAGCCAGCACTTTAAATAGTACCCATAAAAAAGCCGTGCGGTATCGACCACAATTAGTTGTTCCTTTGGCTCTGCGGTCACGCTCTCAGGTCTCTAATACCAACACTAAAAAACCTTTCTTTTCAGGTTCCACAAGAAACACCCTTTCACGGTGCGGGACAGCCGAGAAATGACGTACGCCCTCATACCCGTAACAGCAAGCAAGACCAAATTGATCAAAATCAAATCCTTCCTACAAACCCTAATATCTCTCTTATCTCAACTAACTAAAGGGATTAGAAAAAGTCGACCCTAAAAATATCACACCACACCTTAGCCCACGGATTTCCATCTCCGTCAATAAGACCACTTGCAGAGCAGAACTAGCATGTTAAAAATTTCCCATAAAAAGACCATGCGTGACCGGCCTGAAGACATGTCACCTCATGAACAAACATTAACAACAAATAAATAAAGTCGACATCTTCAAAATATGCAATAAAAAAACTAGACATCACTAAAAAGTAATTTTTAAACCAATTCAGACATACCATCACATGTAAAAGATGTTCAGGGACTAGTGAGAAATACCGTTCATATCGAACCATTATTTCAAAATATTGCAATTGAAGAGATTCATGTGGTAAACGAGAAAATGAATCACTGCATAAAATAGACATTATTGATGTCATAGTTTCATGATGAGGAAAACTTTGATTGAAATGATCATTTTTACTGGCCTTGAAAGAAAAAAAACAACCGGAAGAATTACACGTGAAGCAAATGAAACAAATGTTAGTACTACACATGTTAATGGAACATAGATGGAATTAAAGCATGACTACGCGCAGCTGCGCGCTGATTGGCTAATTTCCTATCCAATCAGCGCCTGGTCGATTCTTGGAGAACAGGGTAGAAAATTCTCGTATTGTTAGCTGCGTGCTGATTGGCTAAATCTAATCCAGTCGATCACGTGAATTACTACTATCCAGAAGCTTCTCATGTAAATGCTATAAGAGAAACTAACGTTGTATCTATTTTTGGCCTTCGCCATCACTTTTGGCTTCTTATTCCTTGCTATTTTGGAATATAATCTTTTCCTGCTCAACCGTGTTTTTGATTCTTTGGAACTTGTCCAGTATATTGAGTGGTCAGAGAATATTAAGCAATAGGATTTAGCTGGGAATTATTTGAGCAAGCGCTAAAACACATGTGAAGACAACTGATATTTGGCTACAGCAGGAGGAACATTGGGATGCTTAAACTAAAACAAGATTCTAACTTGCGACTTTGTTGTTCAAAGGTGAATTATACAAAGATTAAGTTATTATTTCATAATATGTAGTAGTAAAATGGGAATCGAAGGTCGGCCAGTCAAACAATTAGTTACAACGTAGAACTTCGTAAGTACGTACAGCAGTTCAAGCTGCCACACCACATTAGCACAGAGATGTGACTGTCAATTCAAATCCCATAGTAGTAGAGGTAGTAAAAGTATTAGCAGTAATCGGAGAGATTACAGTTTAAAGATGTTATTCAAGGAGTATAGTCGAGTGAAATACATTTAGAAGAAAAAGATAAAAGTGGTGAGGAATTCAGGTTAGGATTTGAGAGAACAAAAAAATGAATGCACCTACGCCAGTGCAAACGGTTTTGAGCCATGCGATTCGGGGTCTCTAACTATCGATTTCTATCATCTCGCGGACCCCAAACAGGTAGTCTACACCTACCAACATGACTCAGTCCACTTGTCAGTGACTCAGCATTTCTGCCATGTTTTGATTTGGCTGCCCCTAGCTTTCGTCTACAAGTGGACTGAGTCATGTTGGTAGATGTAGACTAGCTGGTTGGGGTCCGCGAGACGAAAGTCACCGATGGTTAGAGACCTTGAACGACATGGCTCAAAATCGTTCGCAATGGCGCAAGTGCATCCATTCGCTGAGCTCTCTCAAATCCTAATCTTCTGGAATCGTCACCACCTCTACCCTTGTCTTTTTAACCTTATCTCACTGAATTATACTTTTTGAATAATATCTTCAAAACCTAGTCTTCTTCATTACCAATAATACCTTTACTATCTCTATCACTATCGGATTTGATTTGACATTTGCGTCTCTGTGCTAATGTGGTATGGCAACATGAACTGATGTACATACGTACGAAGTTCTACGTTGCAACTGACTGACTGACTGAGCTCTCGTCCAACCTATTCTTATATCGCAAAACATAGCCCGACGAGGCAGTCGGTGGTTAGGCATACGCAACACATGTCCCAACCACCTCAACCTGCCATCCTTACCTAGTACCCGTTTTCTAACAACAGCATTGCTTACTTGATCGTCCCATGGTACACGAGCAATGCTTCGGAGACACCTATGATCGCGTACCAGCAACCTACGAATATATTCTAATCTGATTGGCCATGTTTCACAGCCATAAAGTAGGACGGAGCGAACTACTGAGCCCTACACTCGTCCTTTAATTAACAAACGGATATCTCGTACCACGCCATACGTGACGCAGGTTGACAAAAGCTAATTGAGCTTTCTGTATTCGTGCTGAGGTTTCGTCAGTCACCAGACCACCAGCAATGATGAGACTCCCCAGATAAGTGAAGTGATCAACTCGCTCGACTACTTCACTCCCTATCACTAGTTCAGGTGCCGATGCAACCCAGTCTTGAAGCAACATTTTGCATTTCGAGGGGAGGGGGAACAGCATCCCGCACATGCTCGCATTGTTGCTTAGGGTGGTCAGAAGACTCTGCGTTTTGTCAGCGTCTTCACCGAATAGAACTATGTCATCGGGATATTCTAAGTCAATAAGCGAGCCACCTGGTAGAAGGTCTACTCCTGAAAATTCAGACGAGGATAAGGTTATATCCAGGAGCATGTCTATGATAAAATTAAACAAGAATGGAGACAGTGGACTTTAGTACATAAGACACAACTTAACTTAGTATCAAAATAGAAAGAAAAACACTGAACATTAAATGATAAACTTACTTTGCAAATTTCTCCAAATAAATAGAATAAATTTAAAGTTACATCAATTTGTTGTAAATGCTCTAGTAGTATAGGTGAAGATTTTTGCATTACATTTGAAATAAGTAAATGATGTGAATGTCTAACCATTTGATGTATTGTATCCAATACAAATCGTTGATCTAATTGTGTAATATTACCAATTAGTGTGCGTAATTCATGTCGATATTCTTCATACTCACCCTGAAAGAAGTAAGAAGCAAGAAGCAAGAAAAAGTCATTTACTTGATAAGATCTGAATCAAAATTAGTGTGATAAGGTGTCTCGATGATTAAGCCAACGAAGATTCACGTCCAAATTCAGATTTATCTACTTCAGCTTGAGCAACAGGATAGTATCACTACTTTTCACATTTAGTATGTCTGGAAATCAATTACACATGAATCTACACCTATTATTTATAATAGATTATGTACTCAGCTGAGTAACAATGCTTTTGTAAGGGTTTGCGATACTATTTGACTGCCTAAACCAAAAACAGAGCAAAGTTCAAACCTGCAAATCAAATGGCTGAAGGGCAAATGCTCTCATAACCGAAATATTACTCTTTGAGCCTAGACACAAACTATTCGAGAAGTGTCATACAACTGATCAGTGAAGATGGTAATATTTAGAATGGGATTATTACATAATCTTTTGAAATCATGAATCGATCAAAGTTAGACCACACCATTAGAAATCTGGAAGCATAGAAGGACGGACGTTTCGTCCTAGTATGGGACTACTCATCAGCAGTGAGCATCCACGACTCCTGTACCTCGCAGGATTCGAACCCAGAACCTTTGGTCCCGCGCGCGAACGCCTAACCTCTAGTTAACAATAAATAACTAGTAATTTTAAGGCGAGAAAAAATTATTCAGACACAGCTTAAATTATAAATTCAAAGTTGCTTTCCCATTTTCTATCAATTAACGAGCTTTCACATAACAAGTAATGGTTAGAAAATTTACAAAGATTATCTACTAATTTCTGCAGTGTTTTTACATGAATATATATATATATACCCGGTTGCGTGAAAGGAAATCCCCTGAATCACGTATGAATAGGTATACCTGCTTTATTTAAGATTTGCAAAAATAACACCATCCGTCGAAAGGAAATGTTTAACAAGTGTAAGTGAGCGTTATTTGATATTTTACTAATAACTGACGATTATAACTGATGTGAGTGAGACCTGTGTCTTTTCCGAAGGCATGATACGCATCACATTCAGAAAATGACTACTGTGCTGAAGAAAAGCATATGCAACGAATTTCACAGGTGCCTTGTGCATGTGTCTAAGGAATGCTTACAGATATGGTGATCAGTTTTAAGTTAACATATGCTTCACATTTTCATACATACAGGTGCAAAGCTCATTTGGAAAATGAAATAAACAGCCTCAGGAACATCAATATTAGGTGTAGAAAGGATTTGAATGTGACGGATATGGTCTCGTGTGTTGTTACGGGTATGAAGGCAGTTGCCACTTCCCGGCTGCCCACACCATGGAAGGGTGCTTCCTGAAAAACTGGGTTAGCATTGGTCTGAGCGACCTGCGAACGTGATCGCAGAGCCCAACGGACAACTGCTTGAGGCCGGCCACGCAGTCTTTTTACTATAAGTTTTTAGAGTGTTAGAATTGCTCTTCAAGTGGCCTTACCTCCGCAGACGGAAATCCATGAGTTGAGGTGAGGTGTGAAATTTGTAGGGTCGATCTTTTCTAACCTATTTCTTCCTTGCGAGAAGGCAGCATCGCTGCAGATGCTGATTGTCCGAAGTAAACACCTCACTGATGTCATACCCCTCTACAGTCAGCGCTACGACTTCGCCCTCAGACCCTGAGTTTTCAAAAACGGTTTGCAATGGCGCAGGGGCATTCATTCTTTGTCTTTTCTCAAACCCTAACACTCTACATTCTACATCACCTTTATCTAACGCTTGCTAGGTTTATTTCACTGCATTATACTTCCTGAATATAATCTTCGGACCGTAATCTTTTAAATGAATAATATCTCTACTGCTATGGGATTTGAATTAACAATTGCATCTCTGTACTGTTGTGGTAAGGCAACTTGAACTGATGTACGTAAGTACGTACGTAATGCTACGTTGTAACTGACTAAGGAACTCTGAGACTATAAAAAACCACTGTGTTAATACACAGATAGATTGTGACCTTACAAAAATTATCCAAGTTTTCTCTTACCTCATCATCATCTTCTTGATTATCACGAATAGGAAGACATTTCATCTTATCGATACAGGCGAATAGAAGACGTTTAACAAAAAATAATCTCATCTCATTTATTTCCAAATGACCAGATAATGCTGATGCTGATGCTGATGAAGTGTTATTAGTCCATAAAGGATTGGTAGAATCCATGGAAGTTGAACTATTCCGATTGCGTGATCGACGTCCACCACCTCCTCCTGTAGATGATGATGATGACGGAACATTTTCCGACGGTTGACTGACAACACTTTTCAATAGACTCAAATAAGAACGTAGAAATGGTATCAACACTTGGCTAACTTGTTGTTCTTTATGCTCAAATAAACTCACAGCAACATTTAATCGATCCTCTAGAGCTTCTAATGCAATCGGTAAGAATGAATTATGATCTGATTCTGATCGAAATTGATGATTTGTTTGATTTGAACTATTATTTAACCAGGTCGCTTCATATAAGTTTCTAAAAAATAAAAGAAAGGAATTTCTGAATGACAAGTATCACGCTTTTAATTGAAAGCTGAAAAACAGATGTAGAGAGTAATAATGCCATTCAGTCTTCTCAGGTAATGTTGATATGGTAAAGTTTGAAAGTTTTAACCTATTACTAAAGAGATGTGTTCAAATTATGAACACAGATAAGAACAAGTGAAAGAGAACATGCTAGAGAGCAGGATTTAGTATCAAAAGCTATCTAAACTTTTTTCCATTCCATTCTGAATTAGTTCACTTGAGATTTTTCAATTAGATTCATGGAGATTAGTGTTTTCTCTGCATATTGAAATCATCAATCAATCAGCGAAAAATCATTAAATGTGCTCTTAGGGGCGGCCAAACCAAAACATGACAGAAATCTATGAAGTCATTGACAAGTAGACTGAGCTATGTCGGTAATTGTCGACTACCTGGTTGGGGTTCGTAAGATGATTATAATCGATGGTTAGAGACCTTGAATGACATGGCTCAAAATCGTTCGCAATGGCGCCAGTGCATTTATTCTTTGTGTTCTCTCAGATCCTAATCTTCTGGATTCTTCAACAACTCTAGTTTTGACTTTCTAAACTTTTCTCACTGAAACATACTTTTTGAATAATATCTTCTAATCCTAACCTCTCCGATTACTTCTAATAACTTTACTACCGCTACTACTATTGGATTGGAATGGACAAATACATCTGTGTGCTGATGTGGTATGGCGACATGAACTGATGTACTTACGTACAAAGTTCTACGTTGCATCTGACTGACTGATCTGACTGATAAAATGTGCTCACTAGTGAGGAAATTCTCGGAGTTCTTGTAGTGAGATGTGACCAGTGGAGTTCAACCCCGTAGGGTGTAGGCAGTAACTACCAAAGACAAATGGGTGAGGTCGTGCAAAATCTGTAGATTGATCAGAGTTAGAAATTAACGCCGTTGGATGCCGGCCCAGTGGTTTAGACGTGCGCAAGACCTAAGGTCATGGGTTCGAATCCTGTGGGTAGTGGGAGTCATGGATGCTCACTGCCTCTAAAGAGTAGTCCCATACCAGGACAAACAGGCGTCCTTCAGTGCTTCCACGTTTCTAATGATAGTTTAACAACGATTGATTGATTGATAGATGATTTCAATGTGCAAAAAATCACTTAAGATTTTCGAAAAATCGAATTTAAAAAACACAACGCAACAATAAACCTTGTTCACACTTATAAAAAAAATAATAATAATCAATCTGTGATCTCTTAATGATTTTTAATAATTTATTTATTTAACGATCATTACAGTAAAATAGATAAATGCAAAAAGTGCAGAAACACGTATTGATTAAGTGTGAAGTTCTAATTGGTGTGTTCAAATAAGAATCGATCACGTGATGATACAACTGCATTCATCAAGTGGTTGATATTCATCATATAAAAAATCATCGAAATATTAACTACTCTATACATCAATACATTTTGCTACATTATTAAGCATTAAGCAACAATGCGAGCATGTTCCGGATGCGGTTCCCCTCCCCTCGAAATGCAAAATGTTGCTTCAAGATAGGGTTGGATCGGTACCTGAACTAGTGATAGGGAGTGAAGTAGTTGAGCGTGTTGATCGCTTCACTTATCTGGATAGTGTCATCAGCGCTGATAGCCTGGTGACTGACGAAATGTCAGCGCGAATACAGAAAGCTCAATTAGCTTTTGCCAACCTGCGTTACTTATGGCGTAGGCGTGATATCCGTTCGCTAACCAAAAGACGGGTGTACTGCGCATCAGTTCGCTCCGTTCTCCTATATGGCTGTGAAATATGGCCGTTAAGAGTAGATGTTCGTAGGTTACTAGTATTCGATCATAGATGTCTTTGAAGCATTGCTCGTGTATCGTGGGACAACTGAGTAAGCAATGCTGTCGTTAGGAAACGAGTACTAGGTAAGGATGGCAGATCAGTAGATGAAGTATTGAAACTTCATCAGTTGAGGTGGTTGGGACATGTGTTACGAATGCCTAACCACCGACTGCCTCAAAGAGCTTTGTTTTGTAGTGTAGGAGTAGGTTGGAAGAAATTTGAGGGCGGCCAAACCAAAACATGGCAGAAATCCATGAAATCTTTGACGAGTGGACTTAGCCATGTCGGTAATTGTCGACTACCTGGTTGGGATCCGTGAGATGATAATAATCGATGGTTAGAGACCTTGAACAACATGGCTCAAAATCGTTTGCAATGGCGCAAGTGCATCCATTCGTTGTGCTCTCTCAAATCCTAATCTTCTGGATTCGTCAGCACCTCTACCTTTGTCTTTCTAACCTTATCTCACTGAATTATACTTCTTGAATAATATCTTCAAACCCTAGTCTTCTTCATTACCATTAATACCTCTTCTATCTTTATCACTATGGGATTTGATTTGATATCTGCGTCTTTGTGCTAATGTGGTACTGCAACCTGAACTTATGTACATACGTACGTAGTTCCACGTTGCAACTGACTGACTGACTGTTCTCTCAGATTCTAACCTTCTGAATTACCCATCATCTCTATGTTTCTCTTTCTCAAGTTATCTCACTGTATTATACTTCTCGAATCATACATTCGCTCCCTAATCTTCTTCATTATTGCTAATACTTCTTCTACCGTTACCCCTAGGTGATTTGAACTGACAGTTGCATCTCTGTGCTAATGCGATATGACAACCTGAACTGATGTATGCGGACGTACGGAGTTCTGCGTTGTATCTGTCCATCTGTCTGTCTGTTTATCTGCTTATGATCAAAATCAGAAAATATAAAACACACAAATGTTCCACAATTGTACACACAGCATCCAACTAACATATTTTACAGGCGCATATAATAAACGCCATAGACAATACGCCATAAACACATCTCAATATATATCATGACAGTAACGAGACAAAGACCAAAATCAAAAAAAAAAAAACACCCAACAACATTATACCTGTACACTGATATTAATTGATTGCCCATAGCATCGATCAGCGCGGCAAGCGTAGAAACAGATTCTAATTGATCATCATTTAAGCTGTTATTACACGGATCATTAGTTGCATTCCTTGATGTTAATGATAGATTCGGATCATGAATGAGCATAGATCCTAATTGTTCCCAAATACCAGTTAATAAGTGTAACTTATCAATCACTTGCATACCTTTATTTACAAAACCTATCAAGTATAAATAGATTCCACAACGAATGATTGAACCGGCTGAATTATTATTAGTAGTAGTAGTAGTATCACTATTATTACTATTGTTATTATGATTATTATTATTACTGTTACAATCAATTGAGAATTGTAATAATCGACTTAATAATGTAATCCATTCAGTATTGGCCACAAGAGATAAATCAACCCAAGATGCATATAAACCAATGGTATGCAGAATTTTACGAATCAGACATGCATTCGATTGACATGAATCGAGAAATCGATACTGAAAAGTAAAAAAAAAATCATGTTGGAGCATGTCAGAATGATGGTGGTTATTTGTATAGATAAGTAATATATGAAAGAAAAAAAGAAGTGTTTCACATGAGATTTAATATCTTTAATACTACTTACTACTACTACTACTACTACTACTACTACTACTACTACTACTACTACTACTACTACTACTGTAGTGAACGAGAACACAGGTGGGGCAACCGAATTGTATTTAACGAAAATTACAGAGTTACTCAGTAAAATCGGAAAACCATATCGTAAATCGTTCATTTGCAAAATATCAGTTCATCATATCGAACTGGACTGTTCCTGTTGCAAAACATCACTATTCATGCGTTTCATGCAAATTCCATTGTGTTCTAACTCTTCCTTTCTTGATCTTCCCCCATCTTCTGCTGCCAGACATTACGTTTACACTCACGTCATATACTACTTATAAGTAGCTCGCACCACACTACTACTACTACTAATTCACGCCAAAATAGCAAATCGAAATATAAACTGCAAAAAAAAAATCGATGAGATCTACTTCATAGAAATTCATTTCAACAACCGACTATTAGTCCAAATGAATGGGACAGTTAGAAAATATGAATCTATATGCGTTAATATGGGTGTGACAATTCCACTAAACAGTAAGTAGTAGTATGTATAGTGAGTGCATAATTGTGATTTGCCACATATTCAATTTTATAAAGATGTGAAGTAAACCTTTTTTGACAATTCTTATTTTCCAATGTTCATAGGTGACCAAATACTCAGAAAGTTAGAAAGGATACTTTATATGTAAACGTAAAATTACAAACTGGTTTACAGAATGATTCTATTAGGTGAGTGGCATTCAGTCAGTCAGTCAGTCAGCTACAACAAAGAACTTCGTACGTACGTACTTTAGTTTAAGTTGCCATACCACATTACCACACACAGAGATGCAATTGTCAATTCAAATCTCATAGTAGTAAATGTAGTAGAAATATTAGAGGTAATGGAACGGATTAGTGATCGAAGATATCATTCAAGAAGTGTAATAATCCAGTGAAATTAATTTAAAAAGAGAAGGATAAAAGTGATGGAATTTGAGACGACACAAAGAATGGATTTTACGTGTGTTATGCCTGGACGTAAACACGTCATTTTGATATGCTTGAACTACCACGAGTTTACCTAGTCGGAAAACGAGAGCGAGGATCGAGGATCCGGTGACACGACATGCTACTCATGCTACTCAAATCCGATTATCCCAACCCCCTTATTGAGTAAAAATAAGAAGACTTGAATGTGCAGTAGAAGCTGTATTCTACAAGCATCCAGAAAGTACGAGGTCCGAATCCAGAAGAGAATCAGGATTACGAACTACGGATCCGAGACCGGGTCCTGATCGTGGTCATAAAACGTTACAGATAATTCGTATTTATGCATTTTGGTCGAATAGGAAACAGTATCGAGGTCTGTGACATCGACAGCAACATTTGAAGTGACATTGACAGTCAGGACGACCATAAAATTGACCAGTACGAATCGACCAATAATTCTCTTAGGATATTTGATGAATATCCTAACAACGTGTATCCAAAGTCGCTAAACATAGCTTACTATTGTTTCACGGACTCAATCAGGTAATCTACACCTACTAACATGACTCTATTGAACGTGGTTTGGCAACCTGAACTGGTGTACGTATGTACGAAGTTCTACGTAGTAAATGACTGACTGAACATGGATCAGTCCAGTTGTTAGTGACCTCATGAATTTTTGCAATGTTTTGGTCTGGCTGCCCCTAGATATCTTCCAGCATCACTTGTCGAGCGTGTAACACATGTCCAAACTATACCAACTGATCAAGATTCACCACTTCATTAATTGATCAACCATCTTTACCTAGTACTCTTTCCTAACAAAAACATTGCTTACTCAATGGTCCCAGAATATTCGAGCAACGGTTTGAAGACATCTACAACTGAATACTAACGTGTTTCGTACCCACAAAGTAGGACTGGGCAAACTGCTTCGCAACAGACTTGCCCTTAGGTTAATAAACGGATATCTCGTACTACGCCATAAGCGGCGTAAGTTGGCAAAAGCAAATCGAGCTTTCTGTATCCGTGCTGAGATTTCGTCAGTCACCAGGCTATCAGCGCTGATGACACTCCCCAGATAAGTGAAGTGATCAACACGCTCAACTACTTCACTTCCTATCACTAGTTCAACTGCCGATGCAACCCAATCTTGAAGCAACATTTTGCATTTCGGGGGGAACCGTATCCCGAACATGCCTGCATTGTTGCTTAGGGTAGTCAGAGACTACTTGGTTGGAGTCCGCGAGACGATACTAACCGATGGTTAAAGACTTTGAATAACATAGTTCGAAATCGTTTGCAATGGCACAGGCGCATTCATTCTTTGGCTTTTCCCAAATTCTAATCTTACGAATTCCTCATCATCTCTCTCCTTCTCTTTCTTAAATTATCGCACTGAATTATACTTCCCGAATCATGTCTTCGAACCCTAATGTTCTCCGTTACTGCTAATACTTCTATTATCTCTACCATTATGAGATTTGTGAACTGGCTATTGCCTCTCTGTGTAGATGCAGTACGGCAACTTGAATCTATATACTCATGTACGAAGTTCAACGTTGATACTGACTGACGTAGGAAAACAATATTTTAAAAAGAATAAACAAAATATGGATTATATAACTAACTACTCACTATTAATTGATAACATGTATGAATCAATGAACCAATACATGATTCACGCATTGCATCTTTCAATTCATTGCTTCGTTTAAGTTCTTCCGTGGTTAATTGTACATTTCTTGATATAATATGACTGTCTAAATCAATTAGAATATCAAGGAATAATTCGACAGCCACTATATCTGATCTATTTGTTTCATTGACTTGTTTAGCTTTTAAAAAAAAAAATTGAAGAATAACCACAAGTTAATATGACACAAGGTGTTATACATATTATATGGATGGAGATGAGATAAACATATTATTATTGATTACGAGTTTGATGGGGATTAGAAGTTTAATGATGGCCATTATCATTACAGCTACGATAGTCTGAATAGAAAATCATCAGCATGTACTCAAAATTAACTGTGATTAAAAATATCCACATTAAACTGATTTGTACTGAATAAAAACGAACTACGTTAAGTAAAATCTCCATTCAGGTATTGCATTGAGTAAACGCTAAACAAAACGAAGGACTTTAAAAATTTTAACTAATTCTTACCAGATATTAACCTGACAATTGTTTACCTACATATTTTAATGTTGGTAAGGGTCAATCACCTGGTTGGGGTCCGTTAGATGATAGTAATCGATGGTTAGAGACTTTGAATGATATGGTTTGAAACCGATTGTAATGACGCAGCAGGTGCATCCATTCTTTGTGTTCTGCCAAATCCTAACCTGAATTCCTCATAACCTTTGTCGTTTTCTTTAAAGTTTATTTCACTAGATTATACTTCTTGAATAGTATCCTCGAACTCTATTCTCTCCGACTACTACTTCTACTATGTCTACTACTATGGGATTTGAATTGACAGTTGCATCTCTGTGCTAATGTGGTATGGCATATTAAACTGATGTACGTAAGTAGGTACAAAGTTCTACGTTGTACTTGACTGACTGACTGACTGGTAGTTTAATTTGGTTACAACTAATTATTTTGATCATGATAACCATCCAGTGCATAGATTAGTAATGGCACAATCACTTTATCACTCTGACGTAGATATTATTATCAGAAATCAAAATATGCAGAGACAGATAATAACCAATGTATAGGAAAGACTAATGAATTCAAAAAATGAACCAACCTGTTGCTTCCACTAGTATTCCCATAAGATCATCAAACAAAGAAGACCAATAATTTGGATAATATCGTATTATAGCTAATGTAATTAATTGACCAGCTTTTGCTTCAAAATATTTCGGTTTCCTGATCCCATCAACAGGATTAATAAGACTCCGAAGCCATTGACAAGCAAACATAGCAAATTTAGATGCTTCATCTGGTTGAACAGGTAAACTAGAATGCTTAAAATTAAAAAAAAATTATACTACTTACTCTGATTTTAAATTTTCTTCAAGTGCTCTACAACATAAGAAAAATAGTGCAGATTTTTGATCTTCAGGCAATGCATCAACATTTGGAAGATTTGAGCTGGAATTCAACAATACAGAAGTGCATATTGACCAACCATCCTCTGAAGTGAGGAATTGTATCAACTTGATTACTTGCTTTTGACAATTGGTGTCTTTGCCTTGTTGAGCGTTGAAAACATTGTAAAGTTCCTCAATACTGAAATCCATTTATCGGTATGCAAAAACACTGACTAACTGAAGGAACAATCCAATAATCAAGTCCAAATACAAAACAATACGAATCCAATGCCAACTGGATTACCATAAAGATGATTGTGTGTTAGGTTTAAGGATAAGTATGGAAATGAAAATTCAGACAAAAGATTCTTAAAACATGACAATTTGTTAGTATGAGATTGAATGAAGTATAGTTTTTGCCAAAATAAAAGCTAAGATAATTGTTTTCGAATGAAATATATCGGGGAAATTATTTTAGAGCAGTCGTTGAAGGACAAAACCAGAAAGCGTACCGGAGGTAAGAGTGGAATTATTTGGTCTGGTGAAGTAGAAACATGAAGAAAAAGGAAAACCTTGAAATGGAGGATAAATAGATTAAATTAAAATTATCTTCCTACAATATCTGTGGGGTTTAGTCTGACTGAGTGATTGAGTAACTGAAATTAATGCAAATCAACCAGCCTAGTACGTGTCGTGTACTACGGTTGTAGTCAAATGTATTTTTTTAGGTTAGTAACAAAATCTAGGTGTCAGACCAGTATAAGAGTACACAAATACATATAAAAATAGGTTCGAATATTACACAATTACAAAGCGCTTTATGTGTTACTATTACGAGTACAAATACAAAAAATCAAGAATTAAAATACTCACCAGTTCAAAACGAGTACCAAACCAGAAAAGCAATATTCATAAGTATAAGGGAAGGTCGGTTTTAATAGCCCTAATCAGATGGAAGGTGTGTTCATTTCTAAAAAGGAATAGAATAAACAAGAGTACATTGTTACCTCTAGTCAGTTTTTTAGGCATACACAAGTAACAATGTTAGTATAGACTTATCACCGACAAAACTTTCCACTGCTCCATGCTTTGAAAACAAGTTACAGAGCAACGAATTAAGATTCCCTGCGAGCAATTACAGATTGAGTATAATCAAATGTCAGTGATGACGGTTGGCTTGGAGCGTTCATCACATAAAAACGAACCGGCACTTCTACTTTATAAAAGTAACCCTTTTCAACATACGCATATGCATGTATGTAATATATATCGTACCTATCATCATCATACCCTGATTAGACCATCGCCATTTGTACACCCTGGAGTTGTTAGGATATGAAAAGGAAGCTTATTTACATAAGATGCGAACAGATCAGTCTGGAATTACTTAGTTGCAATAGCATATGTAGGCCTATCACATAAGCAAATAGGAAAAAAACATACAAACATGTGGTCGGTGACATGCAACACCAACACCACGAGATCGATAACACAGAGAGCGCGCTAAGTTCAATACTCAATGGATAAAGCCGAGTACAAAAATGTAAACTGATTTACTCTTTCTCTAATTCAAGTACAGTTTCAGTACTGACACAAAGCTGATAAACTACTTGTTTATATTTCTTCATATCAGTGGCTGATTAACAAGGGTGAATGCTCTTCTAACGTTAAAATGAATTAGTCCTGTAAACTGACATACGTTTCTAGCCTCGAAGACATGATCGGTTGAACATAAAGGTTCATTATTATGACGAATCGTTCTGGTGAATTTTTAATGAAGTTTTACTTTATCCGCACTCTGTACGCACACTTTTCGCTTGCTTGGTTGACATCCCGTTTATACTGCTAGTTGAATCTTCGCTCATTTTATCTGGCATCATTTCGGTAATACTTCTATACCGCGAAGTCGCCAGCAGATGCACTACTCTATTCGGATTATCTCTTCTTCCCTGTTTTCGTTCACGACAGGGGGACGCGTTGAGGCTGGATCGTAATTGGTTAGTAGTGGTATACATAGTGAACCTCGACAAGACCACTACATTAGAATCATCTGTAATGAGTAATTCTCAGTCGATCGTCCTCCGAGATGATGACAAGTCCTTTAGGAAGACTTTTATTTCTTCATCAAGATATTTCGCATCGTGATTCGCTAATATCCTGAGTAGTAGAGCCGGTTTCACATCACTTTTGCTACACAATATTCTTTGATCAGTCATAGTTTCCCAAAAAGACCTATTAGATTCCTCCAACGTTCGCTCCGTAAATCAAAAATCTTCTTTGTGTATAAAGGTTCCGGGCTCCCAGGTTGAATTCAAACTAAGGTACTCTATTGACAACGATATTTGCTGCATTCTGAACTCTAGCCAACACATCATGTCGCTTTTTGAATTAGTGCTCCACTTTATGCTCTTCTATAGGTCTGTTCCAGGCCCTAGTTTCATCTATCCCATTAACACTGTAATTCATCTCGCAAACGTTCCATCTGCTGGGCTTACCTGATTCACTATCGATGGATTTGGCACAGTATGTCAAGTAAATTGGCATCTGCGCAAACTTCACGTAGCGAAATTGTGGCCATTTATATGACCAGCGAAATCCATGTGCAGTGTGGGCCATCAGTTTGTCGGTGCTTCCCAACATGATGCCTCTGTATTCCCAGGTTCTTTTGCTGTGTCTGCACATGTGGAACAGTTTACAACTATTTCTTCAATTTCGTCATCAGTATGTGGTTAGTAGATAAAGCAATGTACGAATGTTTCCGTTCATGCCACCTCCGAGTATAAAACATGTCATCTTGCATCACAAACTTGTGGGTATGACCACCCGATCTCCAAACACTAGTCACCACTCTATATATTAGATTTGAAAAGAATGAGCGAAAATTATGATAGCCAAGCATTATAACTGATTCATGGTGTAAGCGAGAATGCCCATTGTTGATCCAGATATAAATATGGACGGCTTTTGATCAGTTAGAAGAGTAAATCAGCAGTCACAAATCGTTTCATGAAATTTATTTGCTATGTAACGTCAGCCTTTGGTTAGTTTGCGTCTAAACCGAAGGTACCTTGTGTGCTGGGGGGGATGTGAGGAGCGGTGTATGAGATTATCTGGAAGAAGAAAGAACAAGAGAAAAAGATGAGCCGACGACTCAGTAAGCACATAGAATGCACTTACATACAATATACGAATAAAGCCAGCGTGAGATTACGACAAACTGATAAACGAAACTAAGAGATAATAGGGTTCGGTTTCGAATGCGTTACAGCTACATAAACCGAAACTAGTCCCTCTTTTTCAATTTCCAATGTCTTTCTCCTCATACATCGTTAGATATAAAATTGACTTTAAATCGAAAACGGAATACTAATTCTTCAGACACAAATTAACTAAATAAACAAATCAAATAATTGGTAGTGCGAGAGTACAGAGGAGTTCGGATGAAAGGCAAAACAGAATTGATAATAAGCGATATAGGAACAACTTGATGTCATGTAATTATTACAACAGCAATTAAGAAGGATGTATGAAGTTCAGATGGTCGAAGCGGGAGATGGTAATCTATTTGTGGCTACGTGTTCGTCAAGTTCCTCTTGAAGCTGTCGACTTGGAGACTGTGGTCACTTCGGCCGGAAGAGCACTCCAAATGGGAATAGCCCTTAATTGGAGCATCCTTGGGTTGGCGGTTATTCGAGGGGCATGGTGGTGACTTTCTAGTAGGATGCACGTGTTGGGATAATTTGGTGTACTGAATATACTGTATGCTGTCACTAAATCACCTCTTATTCTCTTATAACATGGCAAGAATAGTCCCAAGTGTCGGAGTTTGTCTTCGTTAGATCGATTTTCTAGCCCTATTGTCCACCTAACTGCGTGTCCCTACACTCAATCCGAAACACTTATGTCTATTACAGAGAGACAGTACAACAATATTAAAAACTCTACATTGACTCCTTGCATACGTTCTGAAACGAGCCCGGAACAATTCTGTAGTGGCTGCACCAAGTTATCTTCTCATAAGCTGGACAGTCGCGAATTCTGTTTGATCCGCTGCCAAGCCCTCTGTGGTAACTACCCCGAAATCACACTCTGAAGAGATAGCTGAGAGCCGATTTCCATTGAGGACGTAAGTTGTTTGTGTAACAAGGTTCAGAATCTTGACGAAATAAAACTTCTAATTATTACATTTTAACTCGGTGTCTACTGCCTATTGCTGTAAGCTCCTTCTGAAGCTCAAGTCAGTCCTTTCGCTTTTCATGGGCCAGGATGTGGTCAAATCCTAGTGGTCCTCCTGGGCTCATGATTTTAGTTTTCTTAGTTCTAAGGAGGGAGTTAGTCAGATGCTCACAAAGACCATTCACTGGCACTAGAGTTGAGGACTGCTCTGTGCTCGTAGATATCTAGTTCAAATTGTTAGTGAAGTTGATATTGGACATTTCAGCCACCTCTAAGTTAATAAGACTCCCAAATCCTAAACGTTTTAATACCTCATCACCTTATCCTATTCTTTTAAGTTTATTTCACTAGATTCCCCTTCTTGAATAATTTATTCTAACCCAAATCTCTCCGATTACTGCTAATACTTTTACTACCTCTACTACTATGTGATTTGAATTGACAATTATATCTCAGCGCTCGGACCTTCAGGATCCCATACATCCTGGTTTGTAGGTTTCCTTTTAATCATGAACCTATAGAGATATTATGGGTATTCTGGCTGATAGCTTGGTCTGGAAATATCTTCCATCACTTTAAACTTCGGAGTTGCATCTGTTTCTCACACCAAGTAAGAGGTAAAATCAGAATCTTTCCACTTCAACCAGACTCTCTTTGCTCCTGCAGTAAGCACTGTGTTACTCGTTTAACTGAGGAATTTCTCTTTCCAGGTGTTTGCCTTGCCTGAGATATTGTGTATGATAGAGTTCCGAGCGACGTCCCTCATCTACTGTTTGCCTTCACCACCGTCATAGTCGTGGGGCATGCAGAAGATGCTCCCTCGTGTTCGTGCAGTTCACCCTAGAATACCTAAGGTAGGGGGTGTGCTAGTTACTACGAAGTATCTTTTTTGTAACCACGTTAAACACGACTGCACCATGATCACTAACTTCTGTTGGTGTGGCTGAGCAAATATTGCGTGCAATGTTCATGTCTACTGACTCAAAGGAGGGATAGCTGAAAGCCGAAATTTTTTTTCGCATATAGGTCCTAGCCGCCATGAGTACACGCATACTAGAAGT